GAAACCTTTTGGGTGGGTGTTGTCCCTTTGCCCCCCTGTGATAAGGCCGAAAAAAGGGTGAAGGCTTTGTGCATTTTATTAAAAACAAAGGCCCCAAACAAGATGGGTATGCAAAGATTTTTGTCAGACCAAAATAAACATTTTATATTTACTAAAGACCCCGCCCCCCCTGACCTGTTTTGTTAACAGGGGGTTGATTTAAAAAATCAAAAAAGGTGTAATGGGTTCGCACTAAAATATGTCACATAAAGCCAAAATGTTTGAGTGCGAACCCAATTTCACCTTTTTTTGTTTTTTGGATTTGCAGGGTTTTTCACACCAGCAAGCTTTTGGGGGGAGCGTTTATGGTTCCCTTTTGATTCGCTATGAAAAAATTGGGCCCGACGACCCCCCACTCTTGGGAATAGAAAAAGTGAGGAAGTTTTTAAAAAGAAAGCAGCACCCCAAAAATAAACCCTCACCACTCACCCCGTGACTTGTAAGCTGATTTAACAAATGGCCCCCCCTGCTAAATGTGCCTGCTAGCTTTACTAGCAGCTTCATTGAAAAAAACAGGGGCGGAAATTAGCTTTGTAGTGATTTTTGGGGACTTTAAAAACTTTGTTTTAAAAAGGGTTTTTTGCCTTTTTTTTACGGTAGTCGAAGTTGCTGATGATGAGTTTTAGGAAAAGTTTTTCGAAACCCGGCCCGAGTGAAGTCCGCGCAGTGACGCGAATGGGTTTTTGCAGTGCAACCCAATAGTTTTTTTCCATTTATTTCTTGAGAAAAAAAAGCCCCCAAAAACCCCTTTGCTAGATGTAAAAAAAGGAATAAGATCTCTACTGAAAAAAAATTTAATAATTTTAAGGGTTTTCCCATTCTTTTTTGCCCGGGTTTTTTAGGGGGGAAAATGGTAGTTTCAAGTTGTTTTAAGTCATCCAAAAGGGGGCAAAACCCGGGAAAAGCCAGGGTCGATAAAGCAAAAATATACACCCAAAATCGAAACCCCCCCCCAAGACTCAAAAACCGGGTTTTTTTAAAGAAACAGCAGAAAAAAAACATGCGGAATCGGTGAGTCAGCTCAGTTTGCTCTTTAAATTTTAGCAAATTTCAGAAATAATTTAAAACCCAAAAAATTAAAATGGTTTTTTAAAAAAAGAAATACATTAACCCTTCATTTGGGAAAAAAAAAAACATTTTTAAAAAAGTTTGCATACCTTGCGTATAAATATTTTCCCAATATATGGGCTAAAATTTAAGTTGTCATTTTTCTGCAAGCTTCACCCGAGTAAGAACTCTGTCAACGGCGGCCAGACTATTCCTTTCTCCAGGGGTTTGTATGGCACGTTTAAGGAGCTTTCTGAACCCCTCTCCTTCCAGCTTTTCCAAAAGCGTAGGTTCTTGCTCTTTCCCCCGGGGACAAGGCCCAAAGGGGAAAACCTAAACCCAAATTTAATGGCCCCCCCCATTTATTTTGGCCCATGGGCTCCCCCCCTGGGCAATTTCCCGTCAGGAAAAACATGTGGACATTTTCCATGATTTTAATGTTTTACATGATGTACCCCCCAATATCTGGTTTGGAAACAGGGCAGGAACCAGGGCAAACCGAAACGGCAATGCGCATGGTTTAAAAAAAAAACTAAGGAAAAAAAATGTTTTAAAAACAGATTTTTGGGGAGATTTAGTATAGTCAGAGATCCCAAGGTTTAAAAAAATAACATTTATGGAAGTAGGGTTTACAGGGGGATTGGAGACTGGGAAAAAGGGAGACAGAGTATAAAATTTCCTGGGTTTATAAATTTCCGGGGTTTCCCCCCTCAGACTGTTGGTGATGTTGGTAAAAGCCCCAAAAAAGCGTGGAGGGCGCCCTGGGTAAAGCCTTTAGGGGTGTTGACATTAGCACCAAACCCCCCCCAGCATACACAATTGTCATAGCCCTCCACATGCAGGGGCTAATTTTAATTTTTAGGGACCCATTCTCTGCTAGGGCATCCATTGAAAAAAAAACAGCGAAAAATTCAGAAAAAATTTTAGATAGTAAATACAGGTAAGGCAATACGCAATTTTACCAGTAGTCTATACACTAAGTGTACAAAACATTTAAAAAACACCTTTTCCAATTTTAAGTTGCACCCCCTTTTAAGGAGGCACACCCGATTTGAAAGGGTTCCCGGTGACACTTGAAGGGTTTAGGAATGCCAAAAGTGTGCAAAACTGTCATTTAAGGCAAAGGGTAGCCTTTTTAAGAATTTCCAAAAATAAAAATTTTGGATTTTTTTAACACTTTTTTTTGGGGTTTCTCATGATTCCCTTGTGTCATTTCAAGTTAAAAACCCAACCAAACAATATGTGAAAAGTTCAAGTCAGCTTTTAGCGCAGCGGCTACATAACAGGCAAAATAGGACTCGGTGGTCCTCTTAAAAGTTATCAACTAGTTAGTCTCATGAAACGGCCAATCTTACACAACATTCAGGTTATCATTTCAACAATTACATTTTTCATTACATATCAGCATCAACACACGAATTCAGTTTGAGTTCCTCACAGTACATATAGTTGAGTGCCACGTCAACCAATTGCCCGACTATCTGAACTTGTATTTTTATTTTTATTTTTTTTGATTCTCCTCAAGGAGACTCCCAGTCGTTTAAACCATTCAACTGGCGTCTAGTCGGGAGAACCTTTTCTGGACTTGGATTCTCACGGAATTAACTCAACCCGACTATCTGAATCTTTTTATCAAGTCACCAGATCCTTCTCTTGTGGATCAAATAAAAGGGTCCATCGCTTGTGAACCAAAACCTCTGTAATAGGCTCCTCACTAGAAAGCCGCAATTCAACAGTAAATAAAACCACTGTAACTAGACTTCTTCTCTTAGAGTCACATTTCAACAGTAAAAATCTAAGATTTCAGATATCAACAGTAAAAAATAAAAGGGTCCTTCTCTCGTGAACCACAACCTCTGTAACTAGACTCCTCCCCTAGAGAGTCACATTTCAACAGTAAAAACCTAAAGAATTCAGATATCTTTACATATATGCCTTTTGAGTCATAATAGATATGTTATAAATTTAACAGTAATCCATACTCACGCCCAGTACTACTGATCATAATTTGGTTTATCCTACAATACAATATGCAGATTTTGTTTTAACAGGTTCTGCTTACCTTTGTATTGACGTCGGTTTAGATCAGTTTCCTGAGGCGAGCTGGATTCCCGGCTGCTCCTGCGGACAGGTCACCCGTCCTTTCAGATCCGTCTCTTACTTGTCTCCTGTCTCTATCAACTTTTATGGACCGAATTCAGAGTTAGAAAACCACCCTCTGCTACCAATTTTGTTGATGATCACAAGTTTACTGGAGAACGGAGACCAAGTAGAGACTTTCGGACAAGGTGGATAATTGTATAATATAAGGCAGTTTATTCAGAGGTAAAGATATCTGTAAATAGCGTGCACGGACCCGTTCGTCAACCTCGTAGGGCGATATCTGAGAGCGAGCGCCTAAACATTGTGTGCTGACATTTTATACAATAAAATAAAGTAGGTTGATTCTAGTAGTTCTGATCTTCTGATTGGTCCTGATGAGTTGGTCGAGGTCACCTCCATTGCATTGGCTCTGAGTCGGGTTCTCTGTCTTCAGATGTTCAGCCTAAGAGAAGGGGGTTTTTGTGTGTGTGTGTGCTTAACAATGATGATGTGTGTGTGTGCGTGTGTGTATGTGTGTGTGTGTGTGTGTGTGTGTGTGTGTGTGTATGTGTGTGTATGTTTAACAATGATGATGTGTGTGTGTGTGTGCGTGTGTGTATGTGTGTGTGTGTGTGTGTGTATGTGTGTGTATGTTTAACAATGATGATGTGTGTGTGTGTGTGTGTGTGTGTATATGTGTGTGTGTGTGGGGGTGTGTGTGTATGTCCTCAGAGCAAGAAGTCGTGAGTTTGGGAGAACTGAGAGACCTATGGCGTGGGTGTTGTCCATAGCCACCTGCTGATAAGGCCGACAAGATAGAAGTCTTTGTGCATTGTATTAAATACAAAGGCCCAACACAAGATGGGTCATGCACAAGATTTTAGTCAGACCAAGCTATAACATTATATATTTACTACGACACCCGCCGTGACCTGTTTTGTAACATGAGTTGCTATGAAACACTCAAAAGAGGTGTAATGGGTTCGCACTCAAAAATATGTCACATAATGCCACATGTTTGAGTGCGAACCCATTACACCTCTTTGTTTGTCTGAATTTGCAGGTTTTACACACCAGCCAAGCTTCTGGGAGAGCGTGATGGTTCTCTTTTGATTCGCTATGAAACACTGCCTGACAGACACACACTCTGGTAATAGATAGTGAGGAAGTTGTAAAAAGAAAGCAGCACCCAAACATACACGTCACCACTCACCAGTGACTTGCTAAGCTGATTTAACTAACATGGCCTGCCTGCTAAATGTGCCTGCTAGCTTCTACTAGCTAGCTTCATTGAAAAACACAGGGACGGAACTTAGCTAGCTAGTGATTTTGGGCACTGAAACAACGTGTAGCAGCTTATGCATTATTTACGATAGTCTGACAGCTTGCTGATGATGATGTTGTAGACATGTTCTCAGAAACCAGTCCTGAGTGAAGTCAGCAGCAGCTGACTCGATACTGTCTGCAGTGCACCAACTAGTTTTTTATTCACATTTTATTACTTGAGAAATACTGCACCAAACACCTTAGCTAGATGTAAAATTGCGCAACTAAGATCTCTACTGCAAAAATGTGAATTAATTACAGATTTCCTAATTCATCTTTCTGACGGTTTTTGAGGAAGTGGTAGTTGCTACGTTGTTGCTATAGTCACTCAAGAGGGACAAACAGTAACTGCCAGGGTACGATAAAGCAAACATAATACACCCACATCGAACCACACCCCCAAGACTCAAATCGAGTTTTTTTTAATGAGCAGCAGAAAAACATGCGGAATCGGTGAGTTCAGCTCAGTCGCTCTTTAAATTGTAGCAAATTACAGAAATATATTTAACCATACAATTAAGATGTCTTTTAAATCAAGACATACATTAACATTCATTGGCAAAAATTGACATTGTACAAAGTTTGCATCACCTTGCGTATAAATATTTTACGAATATATGGTCTAATATCAAGTTGTCATGTTCTGCAAGCTGTCACCTGAGTAAGACACTCTGTCAAGGCTGTGCCGGCAGACTCATGTCTTTGCTCCAGAATGTTCTGTATGGCACGTTAAGGAGCTTTCTGACCCATCTCCTTCCAGCTTTTCCACAGCAGTAGGTTCTTGCTCTTGCCCTGGGTTACAAGGCAACGGGGAAGCCTCAGCCCATTGAACTGGCCCACTCCATCATTATGGCCCATGGCTAACAACATGGTCACACTCCCTGTCAGGAAAACATGTGGACATTTACCATGATATAATGTTCTGTACAGTGATGTACCCCCCAATCATCTGGTTGGATCAGACAGGAACCAGAGGCAAATCCGAGAACAGACACTGACAGCATGGTCAAAAACAATACTAAGGAAAAACTGTTTTAACTGCAGATTGATTGGTGAGATATTAGTATAGTCAGAGATCAAGGTCAAAACAATAACATTGATGGAAGTAGGGTTTACAGGAGATTGGAGACTGGGAAGAGGAGACAGAGTATAAATTACCTGGGTGATAAGATTCCAGGGGTTTCCCCATCAGACTGTTGGTGATGTTGGTAACAGCAACCCCAGCGTGGAGACCTGCATGATACGCCATCTTAGGCTCGTTGACATTAGCACAATCCCCAACAGCATACACATTGTCATAGCCCTCCACCTGCAGGTGCTCATTCACTTTCAGGGACCCATTCTCTGCTAGACATCCATCTGAAATATAAACAGCGAAACTTCAGTAAATACATGTAGATAGTACAATACAGGTAAGGCATACTACGCAATGTACAGTAGTCTATACACTAAGTGTACAAAACATTAAGAACACCTTCCTAATATTAAGTTGCACCCCCTTTTAAGGAGGCACACCTGATATTTGAAATGCATTCCAGGTGACTACCTCATGAAGCTGGTTGAGAGAATGCCAAGAGTGTGCAAAGCTGTCATCAAGGCAAAGGGTAGCTATTTGAAGAATCTCAAATATAAAATATTTTTGATTTGTTTAACACTTTTTTTGGTTACTACATGATTCCATATGTGTCATTTCATAGTTTTGATGTCTTCACTATTATTATACAATGTAAAAAATAGTAAAAATAAAGAAAAACCCTTGAATGATTAGGTGTGTCCAAACTTTTGACTGGTAGTGTATGAGGTTTCTCTAACCAGCTAGCTTTCACAGGCATTACTGTGATTCATTTAATTTTTTTATATATCCAGCAGTAGTTTTATCAACAGCGCTTTGAGCAGTACTTCTTGAATTTCTGGCTGCCTTGGACTCAGATGGCACAATGCTTCCACCTATTGGACAAGAAAGACAACTCACTCAGGGTGGCGCTATAGGCATTAGAGTTGATCTTCATCCCTGTGCAGCAGATGACGAGGTCTGCAGTGATCTCTGTATCCTTGTCTGTCATGATAACCATGTTCTTGTGGGTCACATTGAGCTCCAGTTCAGACAGGTTAGAAACTTTCTGCCCTAGAGTCAGATGGAAAGGTGAGGCCACAGTGTGAAAGATATAAGTTAAATTACATAACAGCAGGTGAATTGCACTGAGATTATAATAAATGTGTTTAGCATGAAACAGATTATCAAAGACTATGTATTTACCGTTTGTGCCAGTCACAACAGATTCCATATCCAATCATGAGGAAGGGAGGCAATCACCCTCTGCACACACATGAGCTCTATTGGACATTCTCTGTCTGCTGAGCATGCATGACATAATCAATCTGCATTTTCACTCTGACTGGTGATGCTTTGTCACCCTGACTAACATTTCCTCAGCCAGACATCACCTCTTACCCAGTAGCAGCTCCACCCCTTTCTCCAGCAGCACCTCCTTGGCCTGTTGTCTGACACTGGGCAGCAGCTCTGGGTCTGCTAGGCCAACATGGGAATGGATCAGGATCACCTGGAAACATGGGGGTGTTGGAGAATGGAGGGCAAGTTCCAATAGATGTGCTCCAACCGCAAGTCTCCAAGAGGCGTGAATAACAAAGGGATGTGGGATTTTATTACCTTCTTGTCTGGATATTCTGTTTTGATCTCTGCAGCCATCTCTACACCAGTGGATCCACCGCCTACCACAAGAACCGAATCTGCAGCCTGGACCTGACCAACAGCAGGGAGAAATCATAAACACCTGTCATTTACTAATATTTTCATAAAGACACATGAACATGGGTACAAAAATTGTCAAATGTATTACAAATACACTGAACTAAAATATAAACGCAACATGTAAAGTGTTGGTCCCATGTTTCATGAGCTGAAATAAAAGATTCCAGAAATGTTCCATAAACACAAAACGCTTATTTCTCTCAAATGTTGTGCACAAATTTGTTTACATCCTCGTTAGTGAGCATTTCTCCTTTGCCAAGATAATCCATCCACCTGACAGGTGTGGCATATCAATAAGCTGATTAAACAGCATGATCATTAAACAGGTGCACCTTGTGCTGTGGACAATAAAAAGCCACTTAAGAAATGTGCAGTTTTGTCACACAGCACAATGCCACAGATGTCTCACGGTTTGATGGAGCATGCAGTTGGCATGCTGACTGCAGTAATGTCAACCAAAGCTGTTGCCAAAGAATTGAATGTTCAATTCTCTACCATAAGCCGCCTCCAACGAGGGCTGGGCGATATTGCCTAAAAATCATATCTAGATTTTTTTTCTAATTTATGGGCGATTCATGATATACATCGAAAACCTTTATATTTTATATAAGCATTGTTGTACAATTAAAAGGTCAAATACACTGCATTTCAAACAGTCAGCAATAATCTAATGAATTCAGGGCTTGTGAAGTCTCAGGGAAGCTCATCTGCGTGCTTGTTGGCCTCACCAGGGTTTTGACCTGACTGCAGTTCGGAGTCGTAACCGACTTCAGTCGGCAATTGCTCACCTTCGATGTTCACTGGCATGCAGGAGAAGTGTGCTCTTCAAGGATGAATCCCAGTTTCAACTGTACCGGGCAGATGGCAGACAGCGTGTATGGCGTTGTGTGAGTGAGCGGTTTGCTGATGTCAACGTTGTGAAGTGCCCCATGGTGGCGGTGGGGTTATGGTATGGGCAGGCATAAGCGACAGACAACGAACACAATTGCATTTTAATCGATGGCAATTTGAATGCACAGAAATACCGTGATGAGATCCTGAGGCCCATTGTCGTGCCATTCATCCACCGCCATCACCTCATGTTTCAGCATGATAATGTAAGGATCTGTACACAATTCCTGGAAGCTGAAAATGTCCCAGTTCTTCCATGGCCTGCATACTCACCAGACATGTCACCCATTGAGCATGTTTGGGATGCTCTGGATCGACGTGTACGACAGCATGTTCCAGTTCTCTTCGCAGAGCCATTGAAGAGGAGTGGGACGACATTCCACAGGCCACAATCAACACCCTGACCAACTCTATGGGAAGTAGATGTGTTGCACTGCATGAGGCAAATGGTGGTCACACCAGATACTGACTGGTTTTCTGATCCACACCCCTACCTTTTTTTTAAAGGTATCTGTGACCAACAGATGCATATAATAATATGCCATTTAGCAGACGCTTTTATCCAAAGCGACTTACAGTCATGTGTGCATACATTTTTACGTATGGGTGGTCCCGGGGATCGAACCCACTACCTTGGCGTTACAAGCGCCATGCTCTACCAATTGAGCTACAGAGGACCACATATCTCTATTCCTAGTCATGTGAAATCCTATGATTAGGGCCTAATGAATTTATTTCAATTGACTGATTTCCTTATATGAACTGTAACTCAGTAAAATCTTTGAAATTGTTGCATGTTGCGTTTATATTTTTTTTCAGTGTAGATCAAACATGAACATAAAGTCTGTTCCAACGAACCAGCCCTGGGAATGCACTCCCATGAAAATGTACCTCCTTCACAATGTCCTCATACTTCTGGATGGCTGTCTGATAGGAGGCCACAGTGTTGTACTTCCCCGGGAAAGGGCCGTCTGTGCCAGTGCACAGTATAAGATGTGAGTAATGAACTTCCTGTGGTGTAAGACATCAATGACACAATCAAATTAGAGGAACTAACTGTCACCTCTCCAGCCTGTCAGAAGCCGTCTGCTTTGGACAGCACACCACTGGATAGGCCTATGTAAGGAGAGTACACCAAGAATACAAAGCTGAGTTGATCTTCAGCAGCTAGATCTGAACTGACTAGAGAAAGCAACATTACATAATATACCCCAGCATGCTCATATAGCCTACTGTACCTTTCCTCCATCCAACACAACAGTCTGTGACACTGGTTCCACCCGCATGACTCGCCCCTGAAGGAAACTCTCTCCAAATGTCTCAAAATATGGGATGAAGGTCTGCTGGGCAAAGCCTGTGAGAAAGTAACTCAATATGTCAAAGGTTCTTTAAGTCAGAATTGTTATATCAGTGTTTTTTCAGTGATGTAATCCATTTCCAATGGGTAAAGGGTTCTCACCACTCTGAACAGAGGCACGGAGGGCAGCCACATTGTGATGAAAAGCATCACGGAGGTCAATGAGGGTAAATGGTATCCCCCTGGATTTGAGCTGTTGTGCGGCGGCGGTGCCACCGAAACCCCCGCCAACCACCACGACATGAACATTGTCTACAGATACCTGGCCGCCCATTATCTGTAGGCCATGACGACAGAGGTGAAAGGGTAATGAAAACTTAAAACAATTTTCTGGTATGGAGGAAATGTAAGATCATGAAATACTCCCTACAAGAGTCAATAAAGTACTCTCAGAACGAACAAATTACACTGTGTACAAAACATTAAGAACATCTTCATACTATTGAGTTGCACCCCCCCCATACACAATCCAAGTCTCAATTGTATAAATCTTTCTTTAACCTGTCTCATCCCCTTCTTCTATACTGATTGAAGGGGATTTAACAAGTGACATCAATAAGGGATCATAGCTTTCACCTGGTCAGTCTATGTCATGGAAAGAGCAGGTGTTCTTCATGTTTTGTACACTCAGCGTATATACAAATATGGAGTGAAAATAACACCAATAGGACTGATTACAATAAACATTAATAAATAAATGCATAAAAATCATATAATACATATATTTGGATTCATCCATAACAATGAGCTAATGATGTGCGACTTCACCTGGCAACAACACAGCTAACACAATCACTTCAAACTGAAGCTGGAAAGACTTCAAACTAGCTGCACCGTTTCATTTGACCTGTTTTCTATTGATAGTTCTTCCAATATATCCATAAAAATTATGCTGATTCATGATTTCGACTGGCTGAGAAAAGCTGCCTACCTGTTTGTCTCATTTTAGTCATTTAGCAGACGCTCTTATCCAGAGCGACTTACAGTTAGTGAGTGCATACATTTTTCATACTGGCCCCCCGTGGGAATCAAAACAAAAATTTTCATCCTGGATGGACAATTATATATTCTATTCTATTGTAGGTTTCGGCACCCAGGGGAAACAATCCCACCACTGGGGAATAGGTGGTGGGAAATGTTCAGGAGGAGGCACAAGAACCTGAGCATGAGGAGGCCGGACACCCTGGACAGGGGGAGAGCTGAGTGTGCCACACGTCCGACGATGGACACCTTCTTCACTTCTTATGAGAAGCACTTGGAGGAGAGTGGGTTAAGGGGGAAACCCAGACAAATCTATAACTGCAATGAGTCTGGGTTTCGTAGCGACCAGAGCAGGCACAAAGTGCTGGCTCCCCGGAGTGCAAAACACGTGTACCAGCAGGCTCCGGGGACCAAGGAGCACATCACAGTGCTGGCCTGCTTCAACGCAGCTGGGGAGGACGTCCCCCCGTTTATCATCTACCCCAAGTGTTTCCCCGGTGGCCACTACACACTGGGAGGCCCCCTCCAAGCCTTGGCTAGCAGTGGCTACATTGACGGGGACCTGTTCAGGAAGTGGTTTCAGCACTTCATTAAGCATGCAGTCAAAGAGCGCCCTCTCCTTCTCCTCTTCGATGGGCACAAGAGCCACATGGACCCGGAGGTGCTCGCGGCGGCACTAAGGGAAGGGGTTCTACTTCTTTGTCTTCCACCACACTGCACCCATGTCCTGCAGCCACTGGATGTGCCATACTTTGGCCCTTTAAAGGCTGAGTTCTCCAAGGTAGCTGGAGACCTTAGCCATTTTGACCACTCCTACATGGTAAACAAATCAGAATTTACCAGAGTATTCCACTACCCGTACCAGCGATGCAAGGACATGCGCAATGTGGTGGAAGGGTTTAAGAAGTGTGGCCTCTTCCCTTTTGACCCTTCAGCCATTGAAGGGTCCCGTTTAATGCCGTCTCGGTCCCTACCGGGTCCCACCACCGCCTCTCCTGGAACCAGCAGCACTGTGCCGTCCATCAGCACTTCCTCCCCAGTGACCACAGGAGGACCCTCAGCCCCTGCTCCAGTCCCAGCCCCTGCTCCAATCCCAGGCCTAGCTCTAGAAGAGCACCCCCTAATAGAGGGGGGGCTGATAGCGAAGGACCTGGGGCACATCCTTACTGTCCTGAAGTATCGGCTGGACCGATACAGAAGACTCCATGTGGTCGCCACATGCCTCACCGGGGAGGAATACACGTAGCCAGTGGCAGGAGAGGGGTGAGAAGGAGAGGACAGAGGCAGAGGAGAAAGAGCGTCGGGCAGCCCTCAGAACACAGAGGGCACAGGAGAGGGCTGCCATGGATGAGACCATTGACGCCATCGCCTCTGCAGGACCCCCTGCTGGAACCACTCCTGACAGCCACATCACCACTGCCAGTGCCTCCCAGTGTGCAACACCTGTAGGAGCCGCCGGAGTCCACAGCTGCAGAAGAAGGCCATGTGCCTACTCTCCCGACTACACCATCATCGGCCCCTCAACCCCACCATTACAAACACCAGCTCCTCCAAGCCATCGTCAGCGGTTTTGTCCACCACGATGCACACCACCCCCCCTGTCTGTCACCACCAACACGGCCTCCTCTGGACCAACTGCCTCCTCCGTCTCCCCTGGTCACACCACCATAGCAGCCTCGTCTGGTGTCCCTGCCCCCTGCAATTTGAATACCGCCACCATCACAGGTAAACACATGTTAAATTACGAAAAAATGACTGTTTGTTATCTGTTTTATAAAACAGCAATGTAAAAAAAAAATATATATATATATATATCTTTACATATCTACAGTACATAGCACCAGTCCTCAAGTCATCTCCACCTCCTCCAAAACCTCTGCAGCTTCCTCCAGAGGTATTGATGTAAAAAAAGTTGAAAAGGGGTTTCAAGACACATGCTCTGACTAACACTACTTTTTCTCAAACTGCAGCACAGAAAAGGAAGAGAAAAGCTCCACCGGTCACATCTGTCACGCCACCAATGGCACCACTCTCAGGTACTTCATCATCTGTTTTTCTCTCTCTCTCAGTTGTATCAATTACTATTGTTGTTGAAGAACTTCTACATTTTGCAAAACCATATTAATCAATTTGTATTATTATTTTATTTTTTATAAAAGAAGACACCACCTGCTGTGCTTGCTGCGGGGAGCATGATCCACCTGCAAGCTCCTCTCAGGAGTGTAGATCCGAGGTGCCATGGGTGTGCTGTGACTTCTGCCAGCACTGATTCCACTGCAGGTGTGTGCAGTGGGATCAAGAGGTAGCGGTGTTGCTGGATTTTTATTGTGATTTTTGTGACAATATAGGGATGGAGGTCGAGATTTAATTGTTTCATTATTAAATAATTTTCATATTAAATTATTTATTTGTACAAAAAAATAAATGTTTAAAATACACTGCTCAAAAAAATAAAGGGAACACTTAAACAACACAATGTAACTCCAAGTCAATCACACTTCTGTGAAATCAAACTGTCCACTTAGGAAGCAACACTGATTGACAATACATTTCACATGCTGTTGTGCAAATGGAATAGACAACAGGTGGAAATTATAGGCAATTAGCAAGACACCCCCAATAAAGGACTGGTTTTGCAGGTGGTGACCACAGACCACTTCTCAGTTCCTATGCTTCCTGGCTGATGTTTTGGTCCCTTTTGAATGCTGGCGGTGCTTTCACTCTAGTGGTAGCATGAGACGGAGTCTACAACCCACACAAGTGGCTCAGGTAGTGCAGCTCGTCCAGGATGGCACATCAATGCGAGCTGTGGCAAGAAGGTTTGCTGTGTCTGTCAGCGTAGTGTCCAGAGCATGGAGGCGCTACCAGGAGACAGGCCAGTACATCAGGAGACGTGGAGGAGACCGTAGGAGGGCAACAACCCAGCAACAGGACTGCTACCTCCGCCTTTGTGCAAGGAGGAGCAGGGGAGGACTGCCAGAGCCCTGCAAAATGACCTCAAGCAGGCCACAAATGTGCATGTGTCTGCTCAAACGGTCAGAAACAGACTCCATGAGGGTGGTATGAGGGCCCGACATCCATAGGTGGGGGTTGTGCTTACAGCCCAACACCGTGCAGGACGTTTGGCATTTGCCAGAGATAACCAAGATTGGCAAATTCGCCACTGGCGCCCTGTGCTCTTCACAGATGAAAGCAGGTTCACACTGAACACGTGACAGAGTCTGGAGACGCCGTGGAGAACGTTCTGCTGCCTGCAACATCCTTCAGCATGACCGGTTTGGCGGTGGGTCAGTCATGGTGTGGGGTGGCATTTCTTTGGGGGGCCGCACAGCCCTCCATGTGCTCGCCAGAGGTAGCCTGACTGCCATTAGGTACCGAGATGAGATCCTCAGACCCCTTGTGAGACCATATGCTGGTGCGGTTGGCCCTGGGTTCCTCTTAATGCAAGACAATGCTAGACCTCATGTGGCTGGAGTGTGTCAGCAGTTCCTGCAAGAGGAAGGCATTGATGCTATGGACTGGCCCGCCCGTTCCCCAGACCTGAATCCAATTGAGCACATCTGAGACATCATGTCTCGCTCCATCCACCAATGCCACATTGCACCACAGACTGTCCAGGAGTTGGCAGATGCTTTAGTCCAGGTCTGGGAGGAGATCCCTCAGGAGACCATCCGCCACCTCATCAGGAGCATGCCCAGGCGTTGTAGGGAGGTCATACAGGCACGTGAAGGCCACACACACTACTGAGCCTCATTTTGACTTGTTTTAAGGACATTACATCAAAGTTGGATCAGCCTGTAGTGTGGTTTTCCACTTTAATTTTGAGGGTGACTCCAAATACAGACCTCCATGGGTTGATACATTTGATTTCCATTGATACTTTTTGTGTGATTTTGTTGTCAGCACATTCAACTATGTAAAGAAAAAAAGTATTTAATAAGATTTTCATTCATTCAGATCTAGGATGTGTTATTTTAGTGTTACATTTATTTTTTTGAGCAGTGTATAATATATATATTTATTGAACCCATCTTGTGTATTTCTTCCTTTACTTTCCAAGTGCACCTCTGCAACACAAACTCCAACAGTGTTTTCATTGTTTATGTCAATGCACATAACTGAAATTAAAGTTTTATTTGATGAATACTCATATTTTAGTATTCAACTGTTATCTACTTTCTCAAAACATAAGATGAATCTGTAAAACAAATGATGAGACATTATTTGATTACAACATTGAATATGTTGGTGAAGAACCATTTTTTAAGAGTCCACAGGAGGGCGCACCAGGCTACGCAATGAAAAGTTGTCAGGTATTTTTTTACCGGAAGGCTAGCCAACTATCTAGTAAACACTTCGGGTACGTGGTTGGTGTCTCTTTTTTGAACAAAATTAAACGGATATATCTTGTAATTGAACAAAATAGTAAGGTGACCAATAACTGGGGGACGTATTTTTTTGCTAAACCGCTTATGAAAAAGCTGATGATAATAATAGTATTTCCACTGAAATGTCAAACCTGCTAATTGCTAACCCGTTAAAATTTTTACGACACCAATAATCACATAACATTTATGGCTTGATCACAAGATAACACTGTTGAAGGTAATATATTTTTTAAATGCTGTTGAATATGCCGATAATACGGGGTTCCACGCTAATAGATTTAGCTGGTTGTAATTTATGGACTAGACACCGGCTGGAATGCGATTTTAACAGCATTAGATCCACCCATTGTATAAAAGACAACAATGACTTAGCAGTTTAAACAGGTACATTTAATGACACAGTCTTCATCTGATGCATTTACATCAGAATATTGTAACATTTGACACCTTGACATATTGTAGCGAGACAGTGACCGGTTTAGCCATATACAATTAATTGTTTACCAATAACGTTAACAGGCTATGCCACAGTAGAGTAGTTAGGCTACTGTAGAATTCGTTCACAATTCAAGAGCACGCTCTGTACCTTATACCCTGTGCTTCGGAACCGTGGCAATATACATTTAGAATGAAATATTGGAAACTCACCAACAAAAATAATGACAAAAATGTCCACTCCGAAATGACTCACCAAATGCTGTTATTCAGCGATTCTCGATCAACTTTAGTTTGACACATTTGATCTTCCCTAGTTTCTACTTAAATCAAATACAATATAGGCACCACTCAAACTCAACTTTAATTGACATATTGAAACTATAATAACACACATAATGACTTACCAAAATGTAGGCTATAACTCTTTCGTCGTTGTTACTTTCCAGCGTTGTCTTCCGTTTTCTACATATAGCCTAGGCTACTATTTTATTTTTCTCACTAGAAATAGCCTGGGCAGCCGCTAGTGGGCTTTATGGATCCACTGGGGTGTTCACGATCACGTTTACATGGGCACAGTATTCCGGATAGTAGCTCATATCCCGCTTGTCTTATTCGGGATACGCTGTTTACATGCACCTTTGATATCCCGCTCACGCGTATCCCTGCACCATGAATAAACAGAATATTCCTCATTTAAATTCATATGGGTTAAATGGAATAGTAACTGAAATATGGACACTAACTGTAGTCCTAGAACTGCTCACATGTAGCATAATATAACTATTGCAGAATGCATTCCTTGCAGTAGAATGACACAATAAATGTTAATTTTGTCTTGGGAACAGGAGTGGAGAAATCTTGATTTATTTCAGCATCTCTTGAGAAAATGCAAATGCTTGTGTAAAGTGTTATCTTTGACACTGTTATGCAAGCAGACAGTATTTCAACCATAAAATATGCAGCCAAGACGAACTGAAGCCTTATCAGAAACGTGTTTCATGTTTTCTCAGCTTTTCATTTCCTTAAAACCGGTCAAACTGATGACATTTGGACATTTTTCAAATAACTGATCTTTCCACTGTTTTGGAGTTATTGCGTTTTCTCCCTGGTCCCTAAAAGAAAAAGGTAGCAGTGTTAAATAGATTACTTATGCATTAATTATATCAATGTAAGACATTCTGGTGAGCAATACTTTTAGTTTTCTGGGACAAGTTACGACAGAAGAGAAGCTGCATGTATCAAACTATAGCTGACAAACAAATGACCTACCAAATGTCCGAAATTATAAGCAGAAAGTTGTCTAAATTAGGGGTGAAAGTAGCCAGGCTATATGGTCCAGTACAGAGGATAAGAATAATACATTATAGTGGATTGAACTGCTCAGGTAGCCTACTTCAAGTGATTTCTTTGAAAAATCAGATGACATCATCACAGCCTGCACAGACCACAAAAACAGGATAATATGTTTACATGCCTATCACATTTCAGGAGAAGACCCAGATTCAGACAGTGTTGAAGTAACAAAACTTTATTACATGAACAGGGGGCAGGCAAATGAAAGGTCAAGCAGAGGTCATTCCAAAAGGTACAGAACGTCAGGCAGTCTCAAGGTCAGGGCAGGCAGAGGTCAGTAATCCAGGGTGGTGTGACAAGGTACAGAACGGCAGGCTCAGGGTCGGGTCAGGGCAGGTAGAATGGTCAAACACAGGAAACCAGGAACTTGATACCGACAGGCGCAGGGGAAACCCGCTGGTAGGCTTGACAAGACAAAACTAACTGGCAACAGAGAACACAGGTATAAATACACTGGGAATAATGGGGAAGATGGGCGACACCTGGAGGGGGGTGGAGACAATCACAAAGACAGGTGAAACATATCAGGGTGTGACAATGCCACAGTTAGCTTTTGTCTAAGATCAGCATATCCCAGGCATTTTATCCGGGTTTCTCATAACCAGGATACAAGCTTTTTTCTGATTATTGTAAACAGGATATGATGTTAATATGTGTCAACTCAAAAAAAGAATATTTCAGTATCCTGAATAATAACGGCCATTATTATTGCTCAAGTATTCTGATATTGGTGTGCATGTTAACGTGTTCAGGCCTCAAGCAATGACTGTATAGGCTAAAAGGGGCCCAAGCCGAAATGCAGGGCAGGGATTTTCAGGTGTAGGTTTCTGGTCGACGAAGTGGAAAGAACAAACGAACAGGGTTGTGGTACCTATGTGAAGCTAGCCACAATAACACTAGATAATGCTAAACACTGCAAAACTGCAAAACACAGCCTTAACTATGGAACTTGGGTCCATGAAATTGGGTATCAGCCTACTCTGTGATACCCACAGAACACAACTGTGAAATGTTTACACAAATATCAGTGTCATAGCTCATATTAAGGAACTTTGTGGGAAATCACCTCACTATTCAGCCTATTGTGCGTATTGACATTCATATTGCAATGTGCAACATTAACTATGGATCTTGGGTCCATGAAATGGGGTATTAGCCTACTCAGTGACACCCAGAGAACACAACTGTGAAGAGTTTACACAAAATATTTGTGTTGTAGCTCTTATTGCGGGACTCTGAAACCACTGTGAAATGAGACACATTAAACTAACCTGTCAACCTACTGTTTTGGACATTCATATTGCATATTGGGTCCATGAAATGGGGTATCAGCCTACTCAGTGATTATTTGTGTGTTTAACGCTAATATCTGTGAAAACGTTTCACTTTTGTGTTCTGTGGGTGTCACCGAGTAGGCTGATACCCCATTTCATCGACCGAAGATCCATAGGTAACCCTGTACATTGCAATAAGAATGTTCAACACACATAGTAGTAGCAACACGCATGCCCGCCCACCTGAGGATCTGTATTTTTCAGCCATCTATTTCCTGTGTTTGAGGGGTGCAAAATCTACTCATCACTTAAATCTCGCTGGATTGATTGCTTTCATACTCTTGCTTGTGCCTTTCGTTTTTTCCTGTTAACGTTACGGCCGTGGAAATATTTGTAATGACTTGTCAAACACACCCCGGTAATAGTTGAAATTGTCTTTCTGTTGGATCTATAAGAACGCTAAAGCTTCATCAGGAATTTAACACATAATCTCGACACTTACATCACAGGAACGATAAGAAAGATAGCTATATTGTGATAGGTGTTCATTTTTTGTGGAATTGAAAACAGTAATAATTTGCTACGGCTGAATTTTTTTCAAATTAGATGCGCTGAAATGAAAGCAACTTCCGGAAATGAACACTCAGATTATAGTGATATTTTATCTGATCTTGCAAATAATGTAAAGTATAGATAGATAGCTGTAATCAAGGTCCAAGTGTGTTGATTTTTAATCCGAGGGCATCCTGAGGTGCGTTCAGTTTGCTTGAACGTTTGCTACGTTATGGAGCGGTTTGTACGGAACGACACGTTTCCCCAAAACGTTCTTGTACGTTCTTGAAGGTACATTTGCTCCCATTTGGTGGGTGTGGCGAGGTGTAGCTTGAAACAATGAGTGACGTATTTAAATGAGACACATATAATTTTCTTTATTTTAACACAAAATCTAAAATAAATACCTGATACCATTAAAAAATGTATATATGAGTACATTCTAAGATTTTTTTTTACATTTGACAATAAATTGAATACCAGAATTTCCAACAAAATCTCTGAACACCAATTATTATTTGTCTGTGCCAGTAAAATGTTTTATGTGCTATAATTCAGTCAATACCGGATGGATTTAAACATTTCAAACTGTTTGGAGTATTAACTGTCAAACTGTTGGTTGACTGGTGAGCTTAATGTGGTTCATTTCACAGTGATTTCAGAGTCCCGAAATAAGAGCTACGATGCTAATATTTGTGTAAACTCTTCACAGTTGTGTTCTGTGGGTGTCACTAAGGAGGCTGATACCCCATTTCATGGACCCAAGATCCATAAGTAATGCTGTGAATTGCAATATGTATGTCAATGCACACAATAGACTAAATAGCGAGGTGATTTCCCATAGCTAAAGTTCCCAAATATGAGCTACGACGCAAATATTTGTGTAAAATCTTCAGAATTGTAATCTTTGGATGTCACTGAGTGGGCTGATATGCCATTTTATGGACCCAAGATCCATAGGTAAGGCTGTACAGTGCATATAAGTATGCCCCCAATGCAATTCTGAAGTCTAATACACCCACAGTGCGATTTCAACAGATTTGTACTTTTTTGTGTCAAATTAACTAAATGTTGTCTTTTGTTGAATTTATATAACAATATCCGAACCATGTTTAGCATTATCTAGTCCAAATATGGCATGATTCCACCATTTGTTTCCGTTTGCATCACTTTCAATTGGGGACTTTTATTTTAAAGGCAAACCACAAATTCCACTAATCGTTATTGTGTCTAGCTTCACATAGGTAACGCGCAATGTAGCCTCGCTTTCGGTACCGCTGAGTGCCAGCCTCCAGGCTCGATTGTGTAGAACCAATACTCACTCTAGCACTGTTAGCCCATAGAAGAAGTGAGATTTATGCTGCGTTTATAACCAAGTGGGAAGTGGGAATTTACCACCATAGAGTTAGATAGAGGACTCTAGATGGATAAACCTGTTTTGGCATGGACATTGCCATTGAGGGCTTCCACCATTTTTAAGTAGTCAAATGGGTGGTCTTTCCTATGGGTGAAGGAAAGATCACATGATTCTATCCAGGTCATCAGGAGGGATCAGCCAATGAGTTATACTCGTGAGCAAACGTTCCATAACTGTAGGTGGCAGTAAATCGCCAACATTGGCTTTATACCAGTGGAGGCTCCTAAGAGGAGGAAGGGGAGGACCATCTTACTCAGTAAAATAAAAAATAAAATAAAAATAGTGAAACGTTATTTTTTTTTTCCTTTTTAGTTAAAACTATACTAAATATATTCATGTCACCAAATAACTGATTAAAACACTGTTTTGCAATGGTCTACAGTAGCCTCAACAGCACCCTCTATGGTAGCACCATGGTGTTGCCGGAGGACAACTATTTTCCGTCCTCCTCTGGGTACATTGACTTCAATACAAAACCTAGGAGGCTCATGGTTCTCACCCCCTTCCATAGACTTACACAGTAATTATGACGATTTCCAGAGGATATCCTTCAACCTATCAGAGCTCTTGCAGTATGAACTGACATGTTGCCATCCAATCAACGGATGAAATAATTAATTTAGTGCTGAAGGCACAAGCTACAGCTAGCTAGCACTGCAGTTCATAAAGTGTGGTGAGTAGTTGACTCAAAGAGAGAGAGAGACAATAGTTGAACAGTTTTGAACAAATTAATTTCTTCAAAAATTAAGAAGCAGCAGTGAGAGAGAGTGAGAGAGCTATTTTTCGCTGTATTTTTTTTCTTAGTTTATCTTTCATTTACTTAGCTAATGCAGCTAATTTCGGCTACTCAACAACCTGACTCAAACATAGAGGAATGCTATTTATGTTAGCTAGCTGTCTAAAGCTATCCAACACCTCAACTCTTCCAAGTCAAGGTAAGATTTTGGTTTAAAAAATGTATTGCCACCAGGGCCGGACAGTGTAACTGCTAAACTGCTTGCTGTACACTGCACTGAGTGATCGTACACATGGATTGGATTGTGGGTTTACTAACGCGTTAGTTCTAGTTTGTTGACTATAACGTTAATATGGTGACAACGATGTAAACTGTGTAGCGGTTCAAAATCAAATCAAATGTTATTGGTCGCGTATGGCTGCTGGAAGACGTTTTGGGGAGGGTATTTTATATATATAAGTTTGCTCATGTTTGCTTAGAGGTTATGGTATGAAGGTTTGGGTTGTAAAGTTTTTTTCGCCTGGTTACAGACAGCTGTTGTGTTGCTCACTGAAGTCCACAAGCGAATGGAAAAGGTGAGAGGAGGAAAGCACGTAGATGAGAGAAGGAATTATACAACAAGCAAAGTGATGATGCTGTTTGTGGCTGCTATAAAAGTGAACTGTGTGTGGGGGTGATTAGGGGTGTATTCATTCTGCCGATTCTGTTGCAAAACATTTCTTAAACAGAAGGAAACGTAACGAAACGGGAGGGACCTACATGGATTTGTCCAATAGAAACTCTTGTTTTAGTTGCAAAACGGAATGCAACTGTTTGGACTAATGATTACACCCCAGTTCAGCTAGATACAGGCAAGAGTGTGCAAGGCGGTATTGAGTGTGTCACTGTCTGTCACCTTGACTACTCCAATTTGTCTCGCGACCTGTGCACCTGTATTATAAAGTTTCATTTGTAGGCTTGGTTGTAGCAACCTCATGATGGGTATAGGGAAAATTAGAGTATCATGTAGTAGCCTAAACCTATCAATGTTACATTGAGCTGGGTGATTGGAATATGAATGACAGTCATCCAATATGCTGTAATAGAAATAAGGCCATGCTCTATTAATATGGTTTTTGAACACTATCATTTGTTTACAAGCCTGATAGTTGTACTTTTAGTTTATGGCTTGTTGGCCATTAGCCAATCGGGGAATTCTAAACTAGTTCAAACCACCTGAATGCATCCAACTGGTATTTACGACTTCACAACTGGTCAATTCCCACATCTCACTTGGAGCTCAAAAATGATAGATGAGCTTCCCACTAGTCATTACCATTTGGAGGGCCTCAAATAGATTGTTCCCAGTCCTATGTGGTAAACATAGAGAATGATAGAGATATCATATTTATACAGTATATGTCTCATTATGGCACCTGTGAGAGTACGGGCAGTGCAATTGAGGCCATCTCCATGTTGAAGTAGTCAATTTTCTACTTCTACTACTTCTATGAGTTGGCAAACAAACTGAAAGGGTGCATACTACCATCTAGAGTGTGTTATTGAACAAGTATAAAGCCAAGGATAGTGATTTACTGACACCTACTGTTATGGAATGTTTGCTCAGGACTATCGTTCATTGGCTGATCCCTCCTGATGACCCGGATGGAATCATGTGATCCTCCCTTCTCCCATAGGAAGTCCCAGCCAGTTGACTACTTTAAAATGGTGAAGTCGTCAATGGCAATGTCCATGCCAAAACGGGTTTTATCCATCTAGAGTCCTCTATCTAACAATAGGGTGGTACATTCCCACTTCCCACTTGGTTATGAACTCAACATTATACCCGCCACGCATACTTGTGGCCACTTCATAGAGAAGAGCTATGGAGACGTGACCCGTTTTTCCATAAAAGAACACCAGGACAGGAAGACAGACACATCTTTTCAAAATGAAAAAACATCCGATGCACATGTTGGACCATCCGTGAATTTTTTTTAGAGGCTTCGGTGTACTGTTAAAACGGTAAGAGCAATTTCATTATTGTGGCTAGCCTAGTCTTTGTCAGAGGTCGGCTAAATGGCAATTGTTTACAAATGCATTGGCTAATGCTACATTGTAACGGTTTTAGTTCCTAGAGTGCGCGAAAGGTTGAGAGTTTAGATACTTTGTAGTCTTTATTTTTCTATTTTACCTGACCTTTGTTTTGCCACGTCTGATTCCCCGTTCCCATGGTGATGCATAGCCGACTCACTACTTCAAGACAAGGACGGAGCCTGCCTAGTATTGATCAATTTGTGATAGAATGAGCAATGAACTGTTCATGTATGACATTAGACCATATATTCTCTTTGCACGGTGGGCAATTATGGTGAACTGCCTTTTTCATTCTTGAAGAAAGATTGGAAAAAGACAAATGCAGCAATGATTGATATGAATTTGTTTATTCCTACTCCGAGCCTATTCATTGCCGAATGTCACCCCCAATCATTTACAACGTGTGTCAGAATGTATTCAAACTTGACATGAATGGACATTCATTGCTGAATATCCTGATATAAAACTGCTGTTACTTGGGTTACTAAACCCCAAGGTCCTAGGCAGTCCTATATAGCAAAGTTAGATTTTGCAATGGTATGTGTAGGGGGCAAACAAATAGGCCTACCAGTAAAAATGATTTGCCTTTTGTTTTCGTTGTTTATTTTTTTGTGGGGAGGGGTGGGTGACAATAACAATAATGACAGAATTCCCCGCCTTACATAACTGATGCCAATCAGGACCAACTGCAGAATTCAGTGCAGGACATTGCAACCACCGAGGCAGATGTTTTTGGCCTGTGGCTGTAATCCAAGATCAAGGGAATCAAATCCAAGCCTAAAAGCAGCAGATATATTTAGATGGACCACTATAAAACAGTTTACCACTGTACGTAGTCCAAGCCTAGTAGTCTATTGAAATGAATAGATTAGCCTCCCTGGATGTTAGACTAATTGAAGTTGCATTGTGTGTGTGTGTGTGTGTGTGTGTGTGTGCTTTTGAAGGGTGCAGCTGTGGCAGTATGTGGTTGAACCTTTATTGTGCTTACACGGTCTCTTCCTGACCGCCATCCTACTTCACTGTAGGTGCAAGCCTTGCAATATGTACTGGGATGGATGAGGAAGAGCAGAACCGCTATGTGGCCCAGCTGAAGGAGGAGTTTGACAGCTGTGACACCACAGGTACTGGTTACCTGGACAAGGAAGAGTTGTCATCCCTTTGCCACAAGCTATCCCTAGATGCTCACCTTCCCCTACTGTTGGACACCTTGCTAGGACCACACCACTATGCTCGGGTATGAGACCAGACCACCTTAGTAACATCTCTCTGTTGTGGATTTACCTTAAATTTCCCTTACCAGCAGTTCATTAAAACATATGTAAAGCTCTGACATGCATAGTTATAGTAAATGTGTAGTAGTTGTGCAATAGCTGTGTTATGACCGCTCTCAATTTTCTAATAGCTCTTAGGGAAGCCTGTATGCTCATTTGACATTTCAAATCAGCAGCCCAAGACATTTTGGATCATGTTGCTACCTTATTCACAGTACAGTAGTCATGTCTCACAATGATGACAATGAACTCACTTCCCTTCTGTTATGCAGGTGAATTTTGAGGAGTTCAAGGAAGGCTTTGTAGCTGTGCTATCAAGCTCTCTGGACTTCAGCACCTCAGAAGAGGAGAGCAGCTACCTGGAGCCAGGTAAAACACGCATGCTGAGTGGTGAGGAGGGGATTGATTTATGTCTGGTTTTCATTGATTACACGGCTGTGCAAACCGATTGAAACCAATGAAATCAGTTGTTTATATACCCAAGTAGTTTAGATTGCTGTTTATATTTGTTCATGGGCCCTATGTGGTGGATTAGATAAGATTGCTTTATGTAAACAATGTATCCTTGTGGATTACTTTATGCAAACAATGTATCCTTGTGGATTGCTTTATGTAAACAATGAATCCTTGTGGATAAACGTTTCCGTTTTATATAAGGTAACGGCAAACCTTGGGGTCATTAGTGGGTTCGATCCCCGGGACCACCCATACGTAAAAATGTATGCACACATGACTGTAAGTCGCTTTGGATAAAAGCGTCTGCTAAATGGCATATTATTAATATTATTATTTATATTATCATTTACATTATCAATGCTTGACAAAGGCACTGACTGAGGCTGAGACTGGAGCCATTGTAGTCTACCTAAGTTAGTTGGACATCATTAAAAGCACACTAAAAAGCATTACTTAGTCAAGTGGTACTTTGGTCTATTCTGGTTGCTTGTCTCTTGCCCGGGTGGGTGACCATGAGATCCCTGAAATGAGGACAATACTAGTGGAGACATCAAAGGGATACAGTATATTTAGTATTTTCCCTCCCTAAAGAAATGCAGTTGATCTCGTTAATTATCTCTGTCATGATTAGCCCCAGGCTGGATTCTATTCTCAAACAAATACAGATTCAAATATACTACACTTCCTGTACCTTTAACAAATCCTAACTCAGTTGAGATATAATTTATTGTACAGCCTGTCACTTTATATGATTTCTTTGAACGATATTTGACAACTCATTGGTATGTGTTATTGTATTTAGAAATGTGTTTCTTGAGTTGGGTATTGTAGGGGATGGCAGTAGGAGGATCTAGGAGGGCACCAGAGTTCCCTCCTTTTCCCCAGAATGTTACAGTATGATGAAGTTTATTGCCAAGTTAGTTTCTGGGACATGCACTTTTAAAGGGTGTGTTTAACCATGTTTTTGTATAACCAGAGATTGCCAATCTCTAATTTAGGCCTTCACTATAGACTCTCTCCCTTGTTACTTTGTAACTAAACATTGCCAAGCTTCTGTGAGAATATGTTTGCAGTTGTAATTGTGGGCAGAAAAAATGCCCAGCTGGTCTAAAATGTTTCTTTCTAAATAAAGGCATTCTACTGTAATATCATAGTAGACACCCTTTAACCACTGCATCTCTCTCTGTACTTCCCCATCCACTTTCTTTCCTCTCCTCTCCTGGCCCTCCAGTTGTTCCTGAGGAGGTGAAGCCCAAGTTTGTGAAGGGAACCAAGCGCTACGGCCGGCGGTCTCGTCCTGACAGGCCAGACTCTGATCTCACAGCTGAATTGGAGGACTCTCCTCCTTTCAGGACGGAGCAGAAGGAGCTCTCTCCCGCTGGCGTGAGGAGGGCCAAACTCCGACGCTCCACTTCTCTGGAGAGTGTGGAGGTAAGAGACGTGGTCCTCCTCCCTCCTCCCTCCCTCTCACACTCTGTCTGCTGTGTTACACTGTGGTCGTCCTAATTTGAGAGATGCCGAGAAAGATAGCTGACTCTTGACTTCTCAAGCTTGGGCCAGGGCCAATAGAAGATCTGACTGTTTGGAGAGAAATTCCCAACTCAGTGCTTCACTTCCATTTCCCTCATGTGTACCCCATGAATGGTGCATTGTGCTGGTGCTGGGTGTGGCCTGTCTCAAATATACAGTATATGACCTGTAATTTGTTGGCAACCATACATTTATATGTTTCTGGCAGCATACTCTTCAGACCACTGTATAACTGAGCGAGAGATTTGAATCTCAGGGGTACATGGGGTTTTGGGCAGACGGCCCTACTCCATACTCAGGAAGTGGGATTATATGGAATGTGCTACTGGCAGCCCTCATGGCTGGCCCCCGCTCCTGCCCCACACCATCCATCCCTCACTGTTAGCTTTGGCTGTGGATCAAAGATGTGTCCCTCTGTTTCTCCCTCTTTTCCTTCTTCCATGGGTTTGTCTTTCATTGGTTCCATTAGTCTCATCACATTTTATTACATTGTTATTAGGTGTGAAATGACAGTAACGAGGCCCAGGAAATGTCATGGTATGTCTATTGAAGGCCCATTGTTTTGGGCTCTAAATTGTATAACAGTAGAAGACAAGTGAAGGAAAGGTCATGATGGTGGGTGACGGGGGGTATCTGTCAGTGTTAAAAGTGTTAAAGATGCCGTGTGAAATCCCTGCTGAGAGTGAAACGTTTGGCACCCTTTTCTGTCGGCCACCGTTGTTGGCTGTCTCTCTGTGTGTGTACATAGTTTGTGTGTGTTTTTAAGTCTGGATTGAGTAGGTAAGTTGAAGTAAGACTTGCATAATGGTCTGGATGGAGATTTAGATTATGGAAATATACATTTCTCACATTTCTCTATTAATATTCATACATAAACTACATAATAAACAACAAGCCAGGGTTGACTTCTGTCTGCCGCTGCCTGTTAACACAGCTCTCATTTTAGAAACCTATTCTGTTATCCCAGATTTTCTTTTCCATTTGAAATATTTAGATATTTTATGTAACGCTGCATTGACTATCTCTGATAGCTTGCAAGATTACGTCTTTCCAAAGCTTCTCTCTCCCTCGTCAGGCCATAGTGCCAGATAGATCCCTGTGCCATGTTTCTCATAAAGCTCTCCACCAATAATCTCTTTTAAATAGTTAACATTTCCAGCAGTTTAAGGCAATACGTAAGCAGCTTTAAGCCTTGGTGGATTCCTAGTTACTGGAGGATAGAGAGGGAACTACTGTATGGCATCCCTGTCATATTGTTGGTTACAGGGGATAGGTCGCTCCTTGGTAACAGGAACATACAGTCTGGGTGAATTACACTACCGGTCAAAGTTTTAGAACACTTACTCATTCAAGGGTTTTTCTTTATTTTTACTATTTTCTACATTGTATAATAATAGTGAAGACATCAAAACTATGAAATAACACACATGGAATCATGTAGTAACCAAAAAAGTGTTAAACAAAATAAATATATTTTATATTTGAGATTCTTCAAATAGCCACCCTTTGCCTTGATGACAGCTTTGCACACTCTTGGTATTATCTCAACCAACTTCACCTGGAATGCTTTTCCAACAGTCTTGAAGGAGTTCCCACATATGCTGAGCACTTGTTGGCTGCTTTTCCTTCACTCTGCGGTCCGACTCATCCCAAACCATCTAAATTTGGTTGAGGTCGGGGGATTGTGGAGGCCAGGTCATCTGATGCAGCACTCCATCACTCTCCATCTTGGTAAAATAGCCCTTACACCGCCTGGAGGTGTGTTGGGCCATTGTCCTGTTGAAAAACAAATGATAGTCCCACTAAGCCCAAACCAGATGAGATGGCGTATCGCTGCAGAATGCTGTGGTAGCCATGCTGGTTAAGTGTGCCTTGAATTCTAAATAAATCACAGGCAGTGTCACCAGCAAAGCACCCCCACACCATAACACCTCCTCCATGCTTCACGGTGGGAACCACACATGCAGAGATCATCCGTTCACCTACTCGGTGTCTCACAAAGACATGGCTGTTGGAACCAAAAATCTCAAATTTGGACTCCAGACCAAAGGACAAATGTCCACTGGTCTAATGTCAATTGCTCATGTTTCTTGGTCCAAGCAAGTCTCTTCTTCTTATTGGTGTCCTTTAGTAGTGGTTTCTTTGCAGCAATTCGACCATGAAGGCCTGATTCACACAGTCTCCTCTGAACAGTTGATGTTGAGATGTGTCTGTTACTTGAACTCTGTGAAGCATTTATTTGGGCTGCAATTTATGAGGCTGGTAACTCTAATGAACTTATCCTCTGCAGCAGAGGTAACTCTGGGTCTTCCATTCCTGTGGCGGTCCTCAAGAGAGCCAGTTGCATCATAGCGCTTGATGGTTTTTGCGACTGCACTTGAAGACACTTTAAAAATTCTTGAAACTTTCCGGATTGACTGACCTTCATGTCTTAAAGTAATGATGGACTGTCGTTTCTCTTTGCTTATTTGAGCTGTTCTTGCCATAATATGGACTTGGTCTTTTACCAAATAGGGCTATCTTCTGTATACCCCCCTACCTTGTCACAACACAACTGATTGGCTCAAACGCCCTAAGAAGGAAATAAATTCCACAGATTAACTTTTAAGAAGGCACACCTGTTAATTGAAATGCATTCCAGGTGACTACCTCATGAAGCTGGTTGAGAGAATGCCAAGAGTGTGCAAAGCTGTCATCAAGGCAAAGGGTGGCTATTTGAAGAATCTCAAATATAAAATATATTTTGATTTGTTTAACACTTTTTTGGTTACTACATGATTCCATATGTGTTATTTCATAGTTTTGATGTCTTCACTATTATTCTACAATGTAGAAAATATTGAAAAACAAGAAAAACCCTTGAATGAGTAGGTGTTCTAAAACTTTTGACCGATAGTGTATGTGATTGGAATGGGGGAGGGGTGGATTAATTGGGCTGGGGAGTTGATAAGTGGTTCACCGATGTTGGGCTGAAACACATATTTCTTGTGAAAGTATTGTGGTGGAATGCTACCCCATGTTATATAAATAATTGAACCGGTCCTGTTAAATATTTTACACAAGCTCACCGTCCTCTTTACATCACTTCATATGGCTTATTTATTTATCATACACAACACAACCTACATTTATGTCTACACATCCTCCTACGATGCAGCGTGCCGTCCGGGTTAAGTGCCTGAAGGACCCTTCTCAATGACATGTTAATATTAGTGTCCCATTAGGCTGGCAGGCTTAATTTAGCACCAGTTTTCACTCACCTTTATTTCACATTCTATTTGTTGAGAATTCTTTAACATACTCTCTGTTCAGACAGATAATTCCCTTTGTCTGGTTAAAGCTGGTTGTCAAGAGTCTTCAATCTATTGTTGACTTACAGACATAAACAATATGATTTCATTCATCCAGCTGAAATGATTGCTTTTGAATGTTTATTATTTGATATGTTGAGAGGATTAGTCATGTCTTACCCTTCTCAACTGACTACATCACTTCCCACCATTTTGTGCTGGTACAGAGTCTGTTTACATTTCTTAGTAGGGCGGCAGGTAGCTTAGTGGGTAAGAGCGTTGTGCCAGTAACCGAAAGGTCGCTGGTTCTAATCCCCGAGCCGACTAGGTGAAAAATCTGTCGATGTGCCCTTGAGCAAGGCACTTAACCCTAATTGCTCCTGTAAGTCGCTCTGGATAAGAGCGTCTGCTAAATGACAAAAAATAAAAAATAAAAAAAAATAATTAGCCCTCGAGCAACTGTAGTAAGGAGCACAATGGTGCTCTCCGACCTCGAAGTGGTGCTGATGACAACAATAATAAATTCACTGACCACCTGTAGCCCTGCCATGTGTTGGAGAGAACCAAAGGGATTAGATGGAGGGAGAAAATAAGAGGGAGAGAGAGATAGAACAAGAATGAGAGAGAGAGAGAGAGAGAGAGAGTAGACAATACTGAAACCAACACAGTGTTCCCGTTTGAAAAGCCTTTCATGGATGAGTTGCGTAATATTGTTCAATATTTAAAGCTGATGATAATTAACGGTAGCTTGTTGCGTCATGATGAGCGGCCTGTTTCTGATGTGGTGCTGCAGCTTGGGGCCATGCCCAGATTGATTCTTTGAAATCAATAGACCCATCTTCCACATGAGATTGATTTAAATGATACTGTACATTTCAAAGATTTTGAGGGGGAAAATGTGATCTTTGAACCAAGATGGGTAGCAAACCGATCCTCCCACAAATTCTGTCTGTTTTAGGTGTTACCAGGATTCATTTGGTTAGATAATTAGGGAATTTGGTATTACATAATAAACTGAAGTTATGCATTTCATTCTACAAAGTGCTTTGGAACTTGCCTCAGTACACCACTGGTTGGTGCTAAAACACAACAAACCAAAGATTGGAAAGGGAACATAGCGACAACCTTAATGGGTATCCTCTGTGGTCTGTGCAGTGTTAGGTTCTATTTTTATTTCACTATGGTTAACAAAGGTGCTTCACACTACATATTTTCCTATACACTACATTTAGGACATTTAGGAATTGTAATCCTCACGACATCCCCTTGACAAAGCTTTGTCTGATACATATTCATGCAAATATACACCACCTTATTGACTGTCATCCTTTAAAAAATGTTAAGATATTGTGTTATAAACCCTGTAAGTGTGCCACCCAGCCTGAAAGAGAGACTGCTATGAGTAAGACGGTACTCAATAACTAACTTCCATAACTAATCCATTACTAACTTCAGTTAAATTTAGTCTATTCAGACAGGCTATTATGTAGATCATAATTAGTAAGAGTCTGCAGCAAGTATACACACACACACACACACACACACGTGGAGGAGGCCTTAAGCTCCTTTACGTGAGAGCCAACGGCCCCATATGATGCTGGGGAGTACCAGTCTACTCTTGAGCCTACTGGAATCACAATCTGCTGGTTGTTCTTATTCAGTGTAGCAGAAGTAATGTTGGCAGGATGGAATTCCTTATGGTCAGTTCATTCCCAGCTAGCACATTTGGTTCCTTAGAAGTTGTGAGAACGTATGTTTTTGGTTTCACATTGGTTGTGGGAAAGAAGTAATACTTCAAAACTGAAAGTTGTTTAAATGTTCTGAGAACAGAAGTGAACATTTCGCCTGTTCTGGAAATGTTTATTCTTTGTTCTGAGAACGTTTTACTCTGGCTCCTTTAAAGTTTTCTATGAGAACGGAAATTATAGGTTATTTGGAGGTTGTTTAATAACTTCCTTATAACTTTCACTGAATATTTATATAAGACTTGTAATAACACTGACAGTTTATTTGGGGTTAATGTTTTTGAACCCCAAGCACAGATAGGACACATGGAAATGTATTTCCTTAGGCATTAATCATGCAAACACATTTCTTTTTTATTGTGACACTGCATCCGTGAGATTCAAATCTATAAACCTATAATCTTCTGTTCTCTATCCATGGAATTAGTCCACTGTGCAACCAGGATGGAGCTAGCATGCCATGTTTTACGCATACAAAGCTGTTCATTTTAGTCTATTCAAACAGACCCCATTTCAAAGGAAACAAGTGCTCATTAAGATCAGGTGTGGCCAATTAGTGGGCGCAGTCAACACACCTAAACACACTTAACAAGATAGAGGATAGAGAGTTTTGTTGATGCTAAGAATGGAATGTATTTAAGTAATAATGCCAGAGAAGCCGCTGTTTGGAGGATATATTGGCACGGGTGTTGTTAGGCCAGAGACGAAGTTGAGGGCCGGCAAACCGTGCCAATATATCCTCCAAACACCGGCTTTCGAGGGCATTATCACTTTTATACAACGGGTTACCAACATATTTTTTGATTAATTTATTATTTTTTTGATTAATTTATTCATACTATTTCATGCTTCCACAAGATATAGTCCCGACACAAATCTAGGGTTGCTACCCAAGCCGGCTGGTCGTTCGTTCTATCGGTTCGGTTGCCAGAGATGCGACCCAGTCGTTCAGTCTTTTTGTTCTGTATCTATGGACCCAGTCGTTCGTTCTAAATGTTCCATTGCCATACTGGCAGGCAACGTTCTTATCTCTTGCTTGCTAGCTAGCCAACTATGGCTAACTTACAGTCACATCAAACAGTGCAGCCAGAATAACAACAGTAGCTGCATTTGCATTTGTTTAAGCTGTTTTTTAGTGACATTTATTTGTACACATCCATAACAATGAGCTAATGAAGCGCAATTTCGCCTGCCATAGAAAATGTGCTCTCGTCAGGGTACTGTTGTTCAGAGGAGCTAGCCAACCACACAGCTAACACAATTACTTCAAACTGAAGCTGGAAAGACCGCAAACTAGCTGCACTTCGTTTTGTTTGACCTTTTTTCAATTGACATTTCTTTGTACATATCCAAAAAATGATGCCAGCTGATTCATGATTTCGACTGGCTGAGAAACGCTGCCTGCCTGCCTGTCTGTCATGTCTCGACTCCCGACACATTCATTATGGGACAGCTGGAGATTTAATTAGAAAATGTAAACAATGTTGCAAATGTCAGAGAGACAGACCGCAAGGTTTATACAAATCTCCGCTGTTAAAAACACATTTCTGTCTAAAGGAAATGTGAGATAATGTCTAGATGCTTTTTATAGTGGAGATCAAGTTTCTAAATTGCCTGGCTGGGCTGATGAGACAGTGGATTGCGCAGTCAGATGGAACAGAGTAAATAGGCATTTTAATGTAATAGATTTAGCCGGTGGTAACTTGTGGAATAGACACCGGCTGGAATGCGGTTTTAACCAGTCAGCATTCAGGATTAGACATTGTATATATGTTTAAGAATAACATTCTTAGAACTAGGCTTGGGTGGTATACTGTATATACCGTATACCAGGGTATTTGGAAAAAGCCACTGGACAGTTTTTCAAAAATGTCACATTTTTATTTAATTTTTTCAATACATTTGAATATTTGTAGCTACTTTTTAAAGATGCATTATGCAGAAATCGCTAAGCCATTTCCTGGTTGTTAAAATTCAAATAGTTTTCCTAATTTCAGTTTATGTGACAAAACAAGCAAGTATGGTGTAGAGAATCATTGTACCATTTAAACCGCTGTGAAATATATTTTCCTTAACCCCAAATATTGTATTTTCAACTGTTTGAAGCTGGTGTACAAAACTGAAAGTAAAAGATGCAAAAACGAAGCTAAAGATTGGGAAGCATAGAAATAGCGCACATAGAACAGATCTACCGCTTGTTAGACTTGCTTTCAATGCGAATGACAGATCTATAATACACATTTCTATGTGAATTTGGTCAGGTTGCCCAAAAAGTACATAATGCAGCTTTAATTGATATGGTGTATGCCTCCACTACACTACATTGATATGCATCGAGGGGATTAAGAATTGAGGATACGCAATGCTCGCTCAAAAATAAGTGGGTATACAACATATACCTGCATATACCCTCCACTACACCACTTGGAAACCTGTAGGAAACGTTATGCTGAAGTACTGAAATTCCCACAGAAGAACGCTGTTTCTTAACGTTCCCTGAACTATTTGAGAACATTCCCAATGTCAAATCAGTTGAACGTTCCTAGAACATGAAATTATATGTAACCATGTTGGAACTTTTAGGAAACGTTCTGTTAAAGCAGGGGTGTCAAACTCATTCCACGGAGGGTCGAGTGTCTGCAGGTTTTTCCTTTCAGTTAAGACCTAGACAACCAGGTGAGGGGAGTTACTTACTAATTAGTGACCTTAATTCATCAATCAAGTACAAGGGTGCAGCGAAAACCCGCTGACACTCGGCCCTCCGTGGAATGAGCTTGACACGTGTTAAAGTAATGAAATACTACGAAAAGTTCCTTAAATGTGCTGAGAATGTTCCAAAGTCAAGCAACTCTCCTGCACCATTAACAGAAAGTTGTGGGAAGGTTGTATGTACCATAAGACAACCACGCTCTCACCAAGAACATATGGTTCTCAGAACGTTATGTGCTAGCTGGGTTGTTCTCTCTCTGTTATCACCACTCATGCTAACAGGCTAGCACTGGCTTACAGCTTTCTCTCTTTCACACTTAGCAGGCACACTTACACACACAAACACACTTCATCTGCTACACAAACTCTCTCACAACACACTTAGTAGTAGGGTAAACTAGCTTTCACAGTGCAGTTCACACACAGACCCTACACACTGACTAAACAACATAGCCAGATTATGATACTATATGTGGACGGGCATACGGGTCAGCATTTAGGCAAGGTAGTTGTTTTTCAAGTTTTGAACACTTGGTGACACTCTTCAATGTCTTACTTCCAGAGTCTCAAGTCGGATGAGGATGCCGGAAGCCATAAGGACACCATCCATCAAACCTTTGAGGCACAAGGTACTTAAATATTTTATTTTAAATAAGTTTACTTTATTGTACATTCAGTCTTCAAGACAGGAGTTTTCCTTGTTAGGTCATGTGATCAGGAAAAACTCCAAGCCCTATTCATACAGTCTAATGCTATACTCTTTGAGGGACTTTCATCCTGACATCTGGATGTGTGTCTCAGGGCAGCAGAAGCGATGGAAGCGGGACAGTTCGGAGAGCCTGCTCCGCTCCCCTGGGCCAGGGGCCGAGGTGGCAGACAGCCAGATGAGGGCAGTATGGGAGGAGCTTGGAGTAGGAGGAGGGGGCTTTCTGAACAGGCAGGAACTGTCCCTGGTCTGTGACCACCTTGGCCTGCAGGACCTGAATCCAGAGGTATGGCCAGCCCAACATTTCAGCCAGTGGGTGTTTTAATTCCCTAATTCCCATATCTGTGCACTTGCTGACTACAAAGGCATTGGATTAGTGTAAACATGGGCCAAGGGAGTTTCCTCTATCTCTTATACCAGTATACATCTGTCCATTCCCTTTTAAGCCATGAGGGGGAGTAAAAGAGTGCACACCTCAGGGAGACGGGCAGGGAATCCGACTGCAGTCGGTGGTTACGTGCCAAAGATACACTACATTACCAAAAGTATGTGGACACCTGCTCATCGAACATCTCATTCCAAAATCATGGGCATTATTATGGAGTTGGTCCCCCCTTTGCTGCTATAACAGCCTCTACTCTTCTGGGAAGGCTTTCCACTAGATGTTGGAACATTGCTGTGGGGACTTCAGCCACAAGAGCGTTAGTGAGGTCGGGCACTGATGTTGGGTGATTAGGCCTGGCTCGCAGTCTACGTTCTAATTCATCCCAAAGGTGTTCGATGGGGTTGAGGTCAGGGTTCTGTGCAGGTCAGTCAAGTTCTTCCACACCGATCTCGACAAACCATTTCTGTATGGACCTCGCTTTGTGCACGGGGACATTGTCATGCTGAAACAGGAATTTCCCCAAACTGTTGCCAAAACGTTGGAAGCACAGAATCGACTAGAATGTCATTGTATGCTGTACCGTTAAGATTTCCCTTCACTTGAACTAAGAGGCCTAGCCCGAACCATGAAAAACAGCCCCAGACCATTATTCTTTCTCCACCAAACTTAACAGTTGGCACTATGCATTGGGGCAGGTAGCGTTCTCCTGGCATCCGCCAAACCCAGATTTGTCAGTCGGACTGCCAGATGGTGAAGTGTGATTCATCACTCCAGAGAATGCGTTTCCACTGCTTCAGAGTCCAATGGCGGTGAGCTTTACACTACTCCAGCCGACGCTTGGCATTGGGCATGTTGATGATAGGCTTGTGTGCGGCTGCTCGGCCATGGAAACCCATTTCATGAAGCTCCCAACGAACAGTTATTGTGCTTCCAGTGGCAGTTTGGAACTCGGTAGTGAGTGTTGCAACCGAGGACAGATGATTTTTACGTGCTTCAGCACTCGGCGGACCCATTCTGTATGCTTGTGTGGCCTACCACTTCACGGCTGAGCTGTTGTTGCTACTAGACGTTTCCACTTCACAATAACATCACTTACAGTTGATCGGGGCGGCTCCAGCAGGACAGAAATTTGACGAACTGATTTGTTGGAAAGGTCGCATCCTATGACGATGCCATGTTTAAAGTCACTGAGCTCTTCAATAAGGCCATTCTACTGCCAATGTTTGTCTATGGAGATTGCATGGCTGTGTGCTCGATTTTATACACCTGTCAGCAACTGGTGTGGCTGAAAAAGCCGATTCCACTAATTTGAAGGGGTGTCCACATACTTTTTTATATATAGTGTATATTGGGTGTGTTATGCTAGATATTAATAGTTTGAATCTTTCTCTCTGTATCTGGGTTTCTGTATTGAATTTGACTTCATGTTTTTAACCCCTGACTCGTTATCACACAGGAGTTGGACGCCCTCTTCAGGAAGTTGGACACTGACCTGGATGGGAGGATCAGCCTCAGGAAGTTCCAGAAGGGTCTTTACAGAGAGGAGGGTGTCCCAGTTCCCACCTCCTCCTCCACCCCCATACGCCCCAACCCCCAGCGCTCACTCCAGCAGGTGAGCAGACAGACAGACAGAACAACACCCTTTTTAGGGAACGCGTACATGTTTAACAGTAATTTATTTATATGGAAATGTTTGTGAGTGGGTCTGGGTCAGTACAGTAAATGTATGTAATTAGGCCAGAATAATGATCCGTGGATAATACAAATGACAATACATTGGCACATGGGACTGCCATCTGTCTCGAACTGAAGGGAGTATTTGATATGAATTCTATTTATAACAAAAAAACTGTCACTTTGCATTAAATGTGTGGCTGATTGGTGTTTGAAGCTGCAATATGTAACTTTTTGGGCGACCCAACCAAATTCACATAGGAATGTGTGTTATAGCTCTCATTCTCATTGTAAGCATGTCTAAGAAGCAGTAGATATGTTCTATGTGCGCTATTTCTGTGCTTCACGTTCTTAAGTTCAGTTTTTGTGTCTTTTACTTTTGATTTTGTACACCAGCTTCAACAGCTGAAAATAAGGCATTTTTTGTTATTGAAAATATATTTCACAGCAGTTTAGATGGTACAATGATTCTCTACACTGCTTGTTTTGACCCACAAACTGAAATTAGGAGAACTATTAGAAATTTAGCAACCAGGAAATGGCAGAGCAATTTTGGCATATTGCACCTTTAAGAACCCAGCTAGCACATTTGATTCCTTGGAAGTTGTAGGAACGTAAGGTTTTGGTTTCCCATTGCTTCTGTGAACGAAGCCATACATTTCCTGACTGGTAAAGCACAACATTTTTTAAATGTTCTGAGAACGGAAGTGAACGTTTTGCCTGATCTGGGAACGTAAAGTTTTAGGTTGCAGGGAGATTCTGAGAAAGTTTTACTATGATTTCCTGAAAGTATTCCTGTTGAAAAGTGATAGTCCAAGTATAAATGCAGTAAAGTAGGCACACTAAACGGTAAAAAAAAAAGTTTTGAGTAAAAGAGTGTTTTTAGACTCAAATCAAATATTATTGGTCGTATACACATATTTAGCAGATGTTATTGCAGGTGTAGCGAAATGCTTGTGTTCCTAGCTCCAACAGTGCAGTACTATCTAACAATTCACAACAATACACACATCTAAAATTAAAATAATGGAATTAAGAAATATATAAATATTAGGATGATCAATGTTGGAGTGGCATTGACGAGAATACAGTATATACATATGAAATGAGTAAAACAGTATGTAAACATTATTAAAGTGACCAGTGTTCCATTATTAAAGTGACCAGTGATTCAATGTCTATGTACATAGGGCAGCAGCCTCCTAAGGTGCAGGGTTGAGTAACCAGGTGGTAGCTAGTGACGATAACTAAGTTCAGGGCAGGGTTCTGGGTGGATGCCGGCTAGTGATGGCTATTTAACAGTCTGATGACCTTGAGATAGAAGCTGTTTTTCAGTCTCTTGGTCCCAGCTTTGATGCATCTGTACTGACCTCACCTTCTAGATGATAGCGGGGTGAACAGGCTGTGGCTCAGATGGTTGATGTCGTTGATGATCTTTTTGACCTTCCTGTGACATCGGGTGCTGTAGGTGTCTTGGAGGGCAGGCAGTGTGCCCCCGGTGATGCGTTGGGCAGACCGCACCACCCTCTGGAGAGCCCTGCGGTTGCGGGCGGTACAGTTGCCGTACCAGGCGGTGATACAGCCCGACAGGATGCTCTCAATGGTGCATCTGTAAAAGTTTGTGATGGTCTTAGGGACCAAGAAAAATTTCTTCAGCCTCCTGAGGTTGAAGAGGCGCTGTTGTGCCTTCTTCACCACACTGTCTGCGTGGGTGGACCATTCCAGTTTGTCAGTGATGTGTCAGTGAAGTCCACAATTAGCTCCTTTGTTTTGTTGACATTGAGTGAGAGGTTATTTTCCTGGCACCACTCCGACAGGGCCCTCACCTCCTCCCTGTAGGCTGTCTCGTCATTGTTGGTAATCAGGCCTACTACTGTTTTCATCTGCAAACTTGATGATTGAGTTGGAGGCGTGCATGGCCACATAGTCATGGGTGAACAGGGAGTACAGGAGAGGGCTGAGCACGCCAGGAAAATAACCTCTCACTCAATGTCAACAAAACAAAGGAGCTAATTGTGGACTTCACTGACAAACTGGAATGGTCCACCCACGCAGACAGTGTGGTGAAGAAGGCACAACAGCGCCTCTTCAACCTCAGGAGGCTGAAGAAATTTGGCTTGGCACCGAAAACCCTCACAAACTTTTACAGATGCACAATTGAGAGCATCCTGTCGGGCTCTATCACCGCCTGGTACGGCAACTGCACCACCTGCAACCGCAGGGCTCTCCAGAGGGTGGTGGGGTCTGCCCAACACATCATCGGGGGCAAACTACCTGCCCTCCAAGACACCTACAGCACCCAATGTCACAGGAAGGCCAAAAAGATCATCAAGGACAACAACTACCCGAGCCACTGCTTGTTCACCCCGCTATCATCCAGAAGGCGTGGTCAGTACAGGTGCAGCAAAGCTGGGACCGAGAGACTGAAAAACAGCTTCTATCTCAAGGCCATCAGACTGTTAAATAGCCATCACTAGCACATTAGAGGCTGCTGCCCAATATACATAGACTGGAATCACTGGCCACTTTAATAATGGAACACTAGTCACTTTAATAATGTTTACATATTTTGTATTACTCATCTCATATGTACAGTATCTCACAAAAGTGAGTACACCCCTCACATTTTTGTAAATATTTGAGTATATCTTTTCATGTGACAACACTGAAGAAATTACACTTTGCTACAATGTAAAGTAGTGAGTGTACAGCTTGTATAACAGTGTACATTTGCTGTCCCCTCAAAATAACTCAACACACAGCCATTAATGTCTAAACCGCTGGCAACAAAAGTGAGTACATCCCTAAGTGAAAATGTCCAAATTGGGCCCAATTAGCCATTTTCCCTCCCCGGTGTCATGTGACTCGTTAGTGTTACAAGGTCTCAGGTGTGAATGGGGAGAAGGTGTGTTACATTTGGTGTCATCGCTCTCACACTCCCTCATACTGGTCACTGGAAGTTCAACATGGCACCTCATGGCGAAGAACTCTCTGAGGATCTGAAAAAAAGAATTGTTGCTCTACATTAAGATGACCTGGGCTATAAGAAGATTGCCAAGACCCTGAAACTGAGCTGCAGCACGGTGGCCAAGACCATACAGCGGTTTAACAGGACAGGTTCCACTCAGAACAGGCCTCGCCATGGTCGACCAAAGAAGTTGAGTGCACGTGCTCAGCGTCATATCCAGAGGTTGTCTTTGGGAAATAGACGTATGAGAGCTGTCAGCATTGCTGCAGAGGTTGAAGGGGTGGGGGGGTCAGCCGGTCAGTGCTCAGACCATATGCCGCACACTGCATCAAATTGGTCTGCATGGCTGTCGTCCCAGGAGGAAGCCTCTTTTAGATGATGCACAAGAAAGCCCGCAAACAGTTTGCTGAAGACAAGCAGACTAAGGACATGGATTACTGGAACCATGTCCTGTGGTCTGATGAGACCAAGATAAACTTATTTGGTTCAGATGGTGTCAAGCGTGTGTGGCGGCAACCAGGTGAGGAGTACAAAGACAAGTGTGTCTTGCCTACAGTCAAGCATGGTGGTGGGAGTGTCATGGTCTGGGGCTGCATGAGTGCTGCCGGCACTGGGGAGCTACAGTTCATTGAGGGAACCATGAATGCCAACATGTACTGTGACATACTGAAGCAGAGCATGATCCCCTCCCTTCGGAGACTGGGCCGCAGGGCAGTATTCCAACATGATAACGACCCCAAACACACCTCCAAGACGACCACTGCCTTGCTAAAGAAGATGAGGGTAAAGGTGATGGACTGGCCAAGGATGTCTCCAGACCTAAACCCTATTGAGCATCTGTGGCATCCTCAAACGGAAGGTGGAGGAGTGCAAGGTCTCTAACATCCACCAGCTCTGTGATGTCATCATGGAGGAGTGGAAGAGGACTCCAGTGGCAACCTGTGAAGCTCTAGTGAACTCCATGCCCAAGAGGGTTAAGGCAGTGCTGGAAAATGATGGTGGCCACACAAAATATTGACACTTTGGGCCCAATTTGGACATTTTCACTTAGGGGTGTACTCACTTTTGTTGCCAGCGGTTTAGACATTAATGGCTGTGTGTTGTGTTATTTTGAGGGGACAGAAATGTACACTGTTATACAAGCTGTACACTCACTACTTTACATTGTAGCAAAGTGTCATTTCTTCAGTGTTGTCACATGAAAAGATATACTCAAATATTTACAAAAATGTGAGGGGTGTACTCACTTTTGTGAGATACTGTATATACTGCATTCTGTTCTGTTCTGTATCATAGTCTGACATTGCTCGTCCAAATATTTATATATTCTTAATTCCATTCCTTTAGTTTATATTTGTGTGTATTGTTGTGAATTTGTTAGATATTACTTGTTGGATATTACTGCACTGTTGGAGCTAGAAACACAAACATTTTGCTACACCCGCAATAACATCTGCTAAACACGTGTATGTGACCAATACAATTGGATTTGATTTCCTTGAGGAACAATATAGGAAATTTAGAGAACAAAATTGGAAAGGCCCATTTCCCCCCCCCCACATTTGTGCTATGACATGACTTACCTGGACCACCTATTGAGATGTGCCTTTTGGTAAGTAAATTAGGTGAAAAGTAGAGTCACTTCAATGTTCTGAGAATGGAAATTATTATTTGGGGTTTACTTTCTTGAACCTCAAACACAGATAGAACACATGGAAATTAATTTCTTTAGGCATTAATCATGCAAACACATGTATTTTTTATCGTGACATAGCATCAGTGAGATTCAAACCTATGATCTTCTGTTCTCTATCCATGGAATTAGTCCACTGCGCCACCAGGATGGAGCTAGTATGCCATGTTTTTTTGAAACTCCAACAAAGCTGTTAATTTTAGTCTATTCAAACAGACCCCATTTCAATGGAAACAAGCACTAATTAAGATTAAGTGTGGCCAATTAGTGGGCACGGCCAACACACCTGAAAACACTTTACCATATAAAGGATAGAGAGTTTTGTTTACACTGAGAACGGAATGTATGTTTTTAAATAACATTCTTTGGATGTTACTAATGTTCTTGTGTTTTTTATGGAAAGTTTTGTTTTGTTTGAGAACATGACTTTAAATAGAACCATAAGGAAACCTGCAGAAAACGTTATGCTGAAGTACTGAAATTCCCACAGAAGAACGTTGTTTCTAAAAAGTTATCTGAACGTTCTGAGAAAATGACTTTAAATAGAACCATGAGGAAAGGTTATGCTGAAATACTGAAATTGTCAAACCAGTTGGAGAATGTTCCTAGAACATTACCAAAATTTAAATTAAATGTAATCATATTTGAACTTTTTCGGAAATGTTTTTTTTTTTGTCAAGTTCCTTAAATGTGCTGAGAATGTTCCAAAGCCAAGCAACTATCCTGCACCATTCCCAGAACGTTGTGGGAAGGTTGTATGCAAAATAACCATAATACAACCATGCTTTCACCAAGCTCTAAGAAACATATGGTTCTCCAAACGTTATGTGCTAGCTGGGGAGGCTCTTGAAATATTCTCTGTGGCTCATAGTTTAGTTTAGGATTAAGATAAAGGCATAATAAGGTATTCAAAATATGATCTATTGATTAGAAATTGTCCCTTCCCTTCAGTATCTGACATAAAAGGCAAACTGTTATACACAGAAACTGTAACCCAATTCTGATATTTTTTTCACTAATTGGTCTTCTGACCGATCAGATCAGCTCTGAAAAAGATCTGATATATAAAGATCTGATGTGATTGGTCAAAAGACCAATTAGACCGCCACATCCGGCTTCTTCACCTGTGGGATCGTTTGAGACCAGCCACCCAGACAGCTGAGGAAACTGAGGAGTATTTCTGCCTGTAATAAAGGCCTTTTGTGGGGAAAAACACATTTTGATTGGCTGGGCCTGGCTCCCCAGTGGGTGGGCCTATGACCTCCCAGTCCCACCCAGGGCTGCGCCCCTGCCCAGTCATGTGAAGTCCATAGATGAGGGCCTAATTAATTAATTTCAATTGACTGATTTCCTTATATGACCTGTAAGAGCCAATTTATGCTTTATCCGAAAATGTGGTTGGAGGCGCCGCATGGATGGTGTGACGAATTGCGGAGCCTCTGGAGGCACGCAGAGGCCAAGTTGAGCTCTGTACTGCATCGCCATGCGGCTCTAAAAAAATTTAACAATGTGGAGGGCTCCGTATAGCTCCGCATTTACATGATTGGTTGACAGTAGGTGAGGGCGGGAGGTCCTGTAAAACACAAACTCACTTCCTTGAAAACTTCCTTCACAACAGCTCTGCGCTGCTCTGAGAAGCGCAAAACGGATGTTTGCTCTGACTTCTGCGGCCACATTGCAGTAAATGCTGTATGGCCAATGCAGACGTCGTATTGACCATGCAGCACCTTTAACTCAGTCAAATCGTTTAAATTGTTGCATGTTTCGTTTATATTTTTGTTCACTATAGTAGGCTGGCTGGCTGTCTGTCTGTCTCTCTCAGATGACGAATGCTCCAATTTCCTGCTGGTCAATTAAGGAATTTTAGGCAGCAGCCAATCAAGTAATTGACTGTTGGGGCAGAGCTTAGTCTGCCCTTCATGCGTTCCCTTGCTGAATTACCATTTCCACACAAAGAGAAAGCCAAAGTTAGAAATCATGTATTGCACATCAAGCCTGATATCTGGGTGTGGTTTGTTAACATGGGCTATGAAAGACAACATCCTTTCTTTCAAAGCTTGGCATGTTGGTGCCTCCCAGGTATTAGGAACAACTAGCTACATGAACCAGCACTGAGACACAAGTGTGTTTCTCAGACTTGTTCAGAAACTAAATACTACCTCTACTCCTCCATGTCCCAAACTGGTGTGGGATGTAAGCTGTGAGCAAATGGGGAATGGAATGTAGGTTAAGCCAGATTAAGTGTTATGACTGTAAAATGGCGTTTATTAGTGGCGCGTGAAATACATGTATTTGTGGCGCTGAAGCTCTTTTGTCTATGGGAGTCTGGATTACACAATGCACAGTGGAGGTCAGGTTATTCTTAGAGAAAGCGGTATGACCGAAGGAGGTGTTCCTGCTACAATGCCCCTCAAGGACTTCTTTGTATTTCTATGGCATTGGGAACAGAGGTGAGGCTACACAGCACGCATGCAGTGCGCAGTGCCGCACTGATCTGCAGCAGTGTTCTGTGGAGGAGGAACTAAATTGGGCCATCAGCTAGCCTGTCCCTGTAGCTCTCATGTCTTCCTCTGTTTTCTCCCAGACCTTTGAGGAGCGGATGGTGCGCTCCACCTCTCCCTCTCTCCTGTCTGCCACCGTGGGCCAGAGGCTGCTGACCAGGCTGGACGATGGGTCAGGCTGCACCAGTCCAGAGAGGGTCATCACCCTCTGGAACGAGGAGGGCATCCGGAACAGCAGGGACATCCTACAGGTCAGTGCCGGACTTGTACCATGACAGGTCAGGCTTGTTGGAACCTGTCACACTATGTGTTTGGTGTTAGATAATAAGCAGCCAGTGTGAACGTCATGTGGGTTTTAGTGGTTTAGTATGCTCTGGGTTTGTGAGTACAATCTGTGAAAGGTAAGCTTTGTGAGAAAGTTATGAACCAATGTACGTGTTCATACTATTACTGTTTCTATTTGAATGTCCTCCAGTCATGGATACACACGCTCATTGCTTGTACCAGTTATTTTCAGAAGTAGCCTTGAAATGTTGATTACTCTTTCTTTGCGGCTACTTGAATTGATACGTTGTTGAAAAGCCTTGGTGTTCAGAGGTTGGTACAGGATAAAGAAAGCTGCAGGGTTTCTCATTTCATCATTTTGATCAGACAAGTTACATAAACAGTATTTCTGACTCCTTTAGGAGCCTATCTCCTTCCTGTGTGTAAAATGTGTAATAGGAGGAGAATAGAGATTGTGGGTTCAGTTACATGTTGCGGATGTTCTTTTGTTTTAGATTACATGCTGTGGTGTAAAACTATAATCTATGTAATGCTGCCAACAAATGGCCCTAGCTAGACATGCTCAGATTATATTATGTGTTACTGAAATAATCCTTTTGTAATCTGACACATTTTATTGCATGAACTGAACTTTGATCTGAATTTATATTTACCATACACCAGTTGTCAAAACACCTGGGGCCTCATTTATAAATGTTGCGTATGCATAAAATATGCCCAAAAACATGCGTGCGCCAGTTTTCATGCAAAAGTTGGCATTTATGAAAACGGAACTTGACGTGAGAATTTGCTTATCATCCCGCAATCTTTAGACCATGTGTACACACAGTTTCTAGTGGCTAAAGGATTGCATTGCAAGAAGGCAAAATGAGCCTTGTGCAGGAAGACACAACGCTCTTTTTCATAACAAAAACAGATCATTTCCATGATCAGTGCAGAATAAATAACTCACCTTTTCTGACTGATGGTTTCGTACTCGCGAAATAGCCGATAGGCTTACAACAAGTTAGGATAGGCTACCAGTCGTCCCATGTGGCTCAGTTGATAGAGTATAGTGCTTGCAATGCCAGGTTTGATGTTTGTGGGTTTGATTCCCATGGAGGACCAGTACAAAAATTTTAAAAAAAAATTATGCACTTACTGTAAGTCGCTCCGGATAAGAGCGTCTGCTAAATTACTAAAATGTAAAAATTTCCCATCTCTCATTTAATTGGACCCACTTCACAGTAGTAAGTAGATAAGCTAATTAAAGTATTTTGCTCTATGCGATCCGATGCGCAGTTCAAAGGTAGACCAGACGGTTCACCTTTTCCATTGATGTTTGTAAGTGAGGTCTGAATACTGTAATTTCACATTTCTCGAGTAGACAATATTTCATTTTATAAACATAATGCATGTATCATAATCATTGCAGAATGAATTCCTCACCTTTTCTGGTCATGATGAGTTCATATTCCCAAAGTAGCCATACAACAAATTACCATACACATCTATTAATTGGGCCTATTAGATAGGCAATTATAATTTCTAGTTTTTGCTCTATGTATCCGAAAGGGAGCTTGGTTTCTAACATACATTCCAATTGAACAGGTGAACAGATATTTTGCATTGAGTAGGCTACCACTGTAAGTAGGCCTACTGTCGTTTTTTGTGTGTTTTTTCTGAGTAGACATTGTTTCAGAATTTGTGGGCAGTGCAGCATATTTAGGTTTGGGAAAACATAAATGCAAAACATTATTGAATTCAAACAATATGTTTACAGGTCCACAACAATTCGTAATAGTTTTTGTCTTTCAGAAATTTCAGGGCTATAGCAAATGTCACTGCAAAAGAAAACATTCTGCCAACACCTCCAAAAACAATTGATCAAGTTCACCATTGCTTTTTTCTTTAGATACTGTCTTGGCCTAATTCTAATACTTCCAAAGTATTCAGCAAATAAGGGCGTTAATGTCACTATGCAAGATGAATGATGGGTGTTATAATGCTCTTTCACACTCGTACTGTCCCCTCCAGACTCTGGACTTCCCCCTGGAGGAGCGGGTCAGTCTGGTGGAGCTCACCCTGGCCCTGGACAATGAGCTGCTGGTCAGCGGCAACGGCATCCACCAGGCCGCTCTCATCTCTTACAAGAACGAGATCCAGTTCCTCCAGTGAGTCTTTGGTTTGATAATGTATACTTTGGTATTGCATGCTTCCGTTGGACTCTATAGAGGTTATGGTCAAAGAGACTTTAGTGTATCCTCTGGATTCATTTCCTGTATGCGCCAATGACTGTAAACTGAGACCAATTCATTTACATCAACTCTTGATTGATTTCATGGTCAAGCATTGCATAATGGATTTTTGGTTGATAGATTTTTACTGTGTCTCCACCTAGAGGTGAGAGATTTTGATGCTTTTATATTATTGATTGTAACGATCATTGCCTTGTCAGTTTACTGACCAACTTTGGAACCACAATACTGCATTCTTTCAGCGTTTTTTGATTCTTTGTGCATAATGTACATAGAATATCTGCTGTTAAAGTTAGTGCTCCATGATCAGGTCATTCTGGTGAGTGTTGTGCTTAGGTCCATGCTCAGATGTCTGTCCACTGTCTGTCCCTCAGGGTCCTAGCAGACCAGGCGTGTCAGGAAAGGGACAAGGTCAAGGCCGACCTGGAGTGGGCCGACAGGAGGAACCTCCAGCTGGTCAGAGAGGTGGATGACAGGCACGCCACCATTGAGTCACTGAATGAAACCAAAATCAAGTAAGACCTTCTCTTCCTTATCACCTCCATATCATTCTGTATGTTACAGATTACAGACTGATCTGATGGTTGGAAAATCTTGCTTGACTGGTTGTGTATTGTCATGCGTGGAGGATGGACCATTTAGTTAAACTTCCCTCTGATTGGCAGGGGTCTGGAGCAGGAGTTCCGGGATAGGCTAATGGCCCTGCGCAGTGAATCGGAGCAAGAGAGCGAGGTCCTGCTGCAGCAGGTGGAGTTTGAGCGGGCCAAGCTCAAAGAGGAAGTGGAGGTCCTACATGCACAGGATGCCAGTCTGCAGGAGGAAATCTGTAATGCCACCCAGGTGACTATCGCTATAGATACACACCATGAGGTTTTTACAATGATAAGAGTGCTAGGAATGCAGGTGATTGCTTGACCACCCTGCCTACAAGATTCCTTGAGCTTAGCCTCTATTTGAATTCATTGCATAAGAGGCTCCTCATGCTTTTGAATGCATGTATTTTGTATGAGTATAAACTGGTTAATGTTCTGCAAGGAATTCGTTTTCATCTCCCTCCCAGTCTCCTCTCTAGAGAACTCAAATGAGAGGATTAGATTAGTTCATGTGATTTTGGTTTTTGCCTTCCTGCTTGCAACATCCACCTCCAGACACAGACATGCTCTATTCAGACTCCTACTAGACCCACTCGCCCACGGACAACCAACCAATGGCAGACTGCGGCTTAGCTTCTTAACTATCCCCCGTCGTTAGTACTCCTATTGTTCTCTGTTATGGAGTGATTATACCGTGTTGCTGTGGATATCTTAAAGCGGTATCGTATCACTCTCAATAACCCTCCCTCTGGGCTAACAGGAGAACGGACGTTTGGAGGAGGAGGGCAGTGTTCTGAAGGGGAAGCTGTCAGAGGCAGAGAACACCATCTCCAAGCTGCAGAGAGACCTGGACCAGCTCCTACTAGACAAGGTGAGAGGGAACTATGTGAGAATGGGCGTGATGTAGGGTGACCACATTTAAAATACCCAAATGCAGGACAACAGGATGATTTTGCGGGACAGTGTAGCCTACACATTAATGTTTTTTTTGGGCAGCACCCCTCAGGGAATGTAAACAGTTAGGAAGGGAAACTTTTAAAATGGGATTGAGTGAAGTAGCAGAAAATATGTTTAATGAGCATGGAGATTTTTACGAAATTACCTTTCAGTCTAATACAGCTATTAAAATGCTTCAAAAGAGAGGTTGGAATGTCAATTCTCATCAAATTAATAGAAAGTCTGATTGAAATATGGAACAAATCAACCTATTTCTCTAAATTAGTGGTGTTTTAATTTGTTGATAAAATGCGGGACAAAGGGCCAAAATGCGGGACATGTGGTCACCCTAGCGTGATGATGTCCTGCTGTGTTAACTCATCCCTCAGGGAGTGAGCAGTGCGGTTTTGCCAGAAATTAATGATTGATGAGGGTTTCCGTTTTGGTTGGCTGACAGTTTGGGAGCCTGGATCCGAACAACACAGGACTGCTGAACCAGGAGGAGCGCTTCTCTGAGATCATCAAGGAGTACAAGCTGCAGTGCCGGGTAAGAGTGTGTGCATGTGTGTTTACAGAATCATGCCTTGGTTGGAACCCCCAAGGGGGCTTGACCTGGTTTACCTTTCACAATTTTCCAAAGCATAGTGCAGTAATTAGTTATACACTGCATACATAACATTCATGATTTATGGTAAACTATTTTTAAGGACTTTTTGTTTACTTGCCTGGACAGAGCAGAGACCTGTTTTGAGTGTATGAATGACAAGCCTCTTGATTTATCCAAACGCCTCCCATTTTGGGAAACTAGAAAGTGAAGGTTAGCGTGTGTTATTCTAGGTTCACAGAATAAGTGTTGCTGTGTGGTTTGATTAGCATGTGCGTGGCAGTTAGTGAGGACATTGTGACTGGTACTGATCTATCTTTATAGTAGTTCTGCTGTGTTTTGCTGTGTTTGTTATGTATGTTTGTCAGAAGTATTGCATGTTAAATGACACGTCTGTGTCTCACAGGAGCTGCGGGACCGGAATGACGAGTTGAACTCTGAGGTGGAGATGTTAAAGAGTCAGGGGATGGGGAGGCGACCCAGACGGGCAAGAGACACGTCCACACACGCTTGGTCCAGCCGACGATCACTGACCTCTGAGTCTGACTCTGGTAAATCCCACTCATAGCCCTAAGCCATATACTGTGTTCACTGATTTGTCCCTATAATTTATATCCGTGCCCTGATTAGAACATAGTGATTTGTTTTCGGTTTTAAATGTATTTATTTAGACCTACAGTATATGCTGTATACTAAAGTGTTGCCTGAAAATATATACTGTATATGGGCCTTGTCCTTGGAGGACTGAAGGGCCCCTCCTATCTCTCTCCCCCACCCATGTATGCACATACACGCCCTCTTTCACACACACCCTCTAATTTCTCCACTCAGTCCCACTCCAGACACTGACAGTTTCACTTTAGTCACTGACCTACTCTCTACAGTAATCTTGTCCATTGTGCTTCAGATGAGCCTGAGATGAAAAGAGGCATATCTCCCATGGCTAGGAAAAAGCGACAAGTGGCCGATAAGAATGGTAAGAATTGGAAACAATCAATCATTTTTTCCCTCTCTGTAAAAACCTGTTGGGACTCACACACCTTGGTGTTTTTGTTTCTGTTCCCTCAGGCCTGGGTTCTCTGGAGAGTCTGCCAGGCCCTGTTGTGAGCATTGAGACGGAGATGGCCATGGGACAGCTTAAGGAGAGGCACAGCCAGGAGGTGCAGGACCTGAAGATTGAGTTGGAGACCAAGGTAGAGGAGGCAATCTGATACGTACGCTCACACTAGGGTTTAATATTTTCCCGAGAATCTACCAATTTTCCTTCCTGAGAAAAATGCAAGAAATTACTGGCTTCCTGGTATTCCTGTTCAAACCGGAAGTGCTATTTAAAAGCACTTCGCTTATTATGGTGATTTTGTCAGAGGGAACATATCTGATTCTCCGCTTATCAAACAGATAAGCTGTAGCGAAGATTCAGCACGATGGATAGCGCTGCGGTTGATCAATTGCCCATGAATCTAAACTCGCCATGAATCATGGCCATTCTAAGGTAGGCTATATTTTACATAAAAGTTAACATTTAATTATTGCATTCATTATCATTCGTTAGCATAAAAATATATGGTACGCCTATATCTAGCAATAAAGTAAATGATAATCTCTCATGGTTTTCTTTTTAAATGTTTATTTAGTCACAGCATAAAATAAATGAAATGTGAGCCTTCTGGCTACACAAACGTGGACTATAGGCTATAATAGAATTAACTAACCAAAGACCCACCCACCCTAGACCCACTTCAATTTGCTTACCGCCCCAATACATCCACAGACGATGCAATCGCCATCACACTGCACACTGCCCTATCCAATCTGGACAAGAGTAATACCTATGTAAGAATGCTGTTCATTGACTAGCTCAGCATTCAACACCATAGTACCCTCCAAGCTCATCATTAAGCTCGAGGCCCTGGGTCTGAACCACGCCCTGTGGAACTGGGTCCTGGACTTCCTGACGGGCCAACACAGGTGAGGGCTCTGGGTGTGTGGTGCCAGGAAAATAACCTCTCACTCAACGTCAACAAAAACAAAGGAGATGATCGTGGATTTCAGGAAACAGCAGAGGGTGCACCCCCCTATCCACATCGACGGGCCACAGTGGAGAAGGTGGAAAGCTTCAAGTTCCTCGGCGTACACATCACTGACAAACTGAAATGGTCCACCCACGCAGACAGTGTGGTGAAGAAGGCGCAACATAGCCTCTTCAACCTCAGGAGGCTGAAGAAATTTGGCTTGGCACCTAAAACCCTCACAAACTTTTACAGATGCACAATTGAGAGCATCCTGTTGGGCTGTATCACCGCCTGGTACGGCAACTGCACCGCCCGCAACCGCAGGGCTCTCCAGAGGGTGGTGCTGTCTGCCGAACGCATAACCGGGGGCAAACTACCCGCCCTCCAAGATACCTACAGCACCCGATGTTACAGGAAGGCCAAAAAGATCATCAAAGACATCAACCACCCGAGCCACTGCCTGTTCACCCTGCTATCATCCAGAAGGCGAGGTCAGTACAGGTGTATCAAAGCTGGGACCGAGAGAATGAAAAACAGCTTCAATCTCAAGGCCATCAGACTGTTAAATAGCCATCACTAGCCCATTAGAGGCAGCTGCTGCTGCCTATTGAAATCACTGGCCACTTTAAGAAATGGAACACTTGTCACTTTAATAATGTTTACATATATATCTTGCACTACTCATCTCATATGTATATACTGTATTCTATTCTATAATATTCTACTGTATCTTAGTCCATGCCGCTCTGTCATTGCTTGTCCATATGTATATATTCTTAAATTCCATTCCTTACTAGATTTGTGTGTATTGGGTATATGTTGTGAAATTGTTAGATATTACTGCACTGTCGGAGCTAGAAGCACAAGCATTTCGCTACACCCGCAATAACATCTGCTAAACACGTGTATGTGACAAATAAATTATTTTATTTCTTATTTTCCATTATTACTTTTATTCAGGACAGAAAAACAAAGATTTTCATAAAACTTGCTTGTTCAATTCGAGTTCATTAAAAGACACCCGGTTCTCGCATCATTTTTCAACATGAAAAACAGACTTGTTTAGAAACAGAATAACTATAATTATAGGAAGGACTAACTGTAATTGTAGCTGACTAATTGTCAAGACCCAGCCAAACAAATGTAGAATAATTCTACACACAAATGTAGGCTATAGGCTGCGGAAAATAACCTGGTAGGCTTAACCTGTAGCTAGCTAACAAACAAACAAAATAATTTGCATAGGCTTTAGGCCGTACCTGTTTAACTTACATTTTATCTGATGAAGTGGTCTCTCAAAAAGCACAGTGCATAAATTCTTCCCAGACAGGCGGTTTCTGATCTTCGCCACAAATTGGCCACAGACTGAGAAGGCTCTCTTGGCCTCCACGGAGGTAGCCTGGATCGTGGCGAGCACCTCAAACAGGTGCGGCAGGTATTTTGACCTGTTTGTTGCTTCAAACAGACTGAATTGCTTAGACAGGATTTTCAGCAGGTTGGTTTGGCATTCGGCTTCGTTGGCAAATTTTTTTTTTTTATCTTTGCCACACAGACTTTTTTAATCATGCTGAACAAAAATAAAAATGCAACAATTAACCATTTTACTGATTTACAGTTCATATAAGGAAATCAGTCAATTGAAATAAATTCATTAGGCCCTAATCTATGGATTTCACATGACTGGGAATACAGATATGCATCTGTTGGTCACAGATACATACAAAAAAAAGGTAAGGGCGTGGATCAGAAAACCAGTCAGTATCTGGTGTGACCACCATTTTCCTCATGCAGCGCGACACATCTCCTTCACATAGAGTTGATCAGGCTGTTAACTGTGGCCGGTGGAATGTTGTCCCACTCCTCTTCAGTGGCTGTGCGAAGTTGCTGGATATTGGTGGAAACTGGAACACGCTGTCGTACACATCGATCCAGAGCATCCCAAACATGCTCAATGGGTGACATGTCTGGTGAGAATGCAGGCTATGGAAGAACTGGGAGATTTTCAGCTTCCAGGAATTGTGTACAGATCTTTGCGACATGGAGCCATGCATTATCATGCTGAAACATGTGATGGTGGTGATGAATGGTATGACAATGGGCCTCAGTATCTTGTCATGGTATCTCTGTGCATTCAAATTGCAGTCGATAAAATGCAATTGTGTTCATTGTCCGAGCTTATTCCTGCCCATACCATAACCCCACCGCCACCATGGGGCACTCTGTTCACAACGTTCACATCAGCAAACTGCTCGCCCACACGACGCACAGTCTGCCATCTGCCCGGTACATTTGAAACCGGGATTCATCCATGAAGAGGACACTTCTCCGGCATGCCAGTGGCCGTCGAAGTTGAGCATATGCCCACTGAAGTCAGTTACGATGCCGAACTGCAGTCAGGTCAAGACCCTGGTGAGGACGATGAGCACGCAGATTAGCTTTCTGACAGTTTGTGCAGAAATTATTCGGTTGTGCAAACCCACAGTTTCATCAGCTGTCTGGGTGGCTGGTTTCAGACGATCCCGCAGGTGAAGAAGCCGGATGTGGAGGTCATGGCCTGGCGTGGTTACACGTGGTCTGTGGTTGAGGTCGGTTGGACGGACTGCCAAATTCTCTAAAACAACGTTGGAGGGGGCTTATGGTAGAGAAATAAACATTCAATTATCTGGCAACAGCTCTGGTGGACATTCCTGCAGTCAGCATGCCAATTGCACGCTCCCTCAAAACTTGAGACATCTGTGGCATTGTGTTGTGTGACAAAACTGCACATTTTAGTGGCCTTTTTATTGTCCCAAGCACAAGGTGCACCTGTGTAATAATCATGCTGTTCAATCATCATCTTGATATGCCACACCTGTCAGGTGGATGGATTATCTTGGCAAAGTAGAAATGCTCACTAACAGGGTTGTAACCAAATTTGAGAGAAATAAGCTTTTTGTGCGTATGGAAAATTCTGGGATCTTTTATTTCAGCTCATGAAACATGGGACCAACCCTTTACATGTTGCGTTTATATTTTTGTTCAGTGTAATAAATGCAGGTAGGCCTACCAATAGCGACTTTGTGTAAGTGAATACGGTAGGCTACAACAACACACCCTGAGCATTGATTATTGATCATGCAGATAGCAGAGCAGGCCATATGAAGACAGATTTAGACATTGCATATAATTTAACAGTTCAATTTTATGTCACGTTGTTCATATAAATTATTTATTCTAATTTACGTGTTTCTCGCTATTATTTATCCCGGGAAAGGGTCGTGGGTTTGGGAGGGAATTCCCAGTAACCTGGTTCCTGCCATTAAACCCTAGCTCACACGTTTTTGTATTGTTTTAATTACCGTCTCCTATTCTTTATGTGAAATTGAAAGGTCCAAAATTATTGGTAATTTGAATGAAACTATATGAAAAACTGAACTAACTTCAGTACATGGGAGGCCCATTTTTCAAATTCTGGAATATCCATGACCCTCCTCATCCTCGCCCCACAGGTGAACTTCTACGAGCGCAGCCTGGAGCTGATGCGACGGAACATGGAGGTGGAGAGGAAGGACATCTCTCAGGGCTTCAAGGTGGAGATCAGTGAGCTGGAGGAGGAGAAGGCCCAGGCTGTGGAGCAGGTTATGAGGCTAAGAGAGACAGTGGAGAAGCTGCAGACCGAGCTACAGAGCAGCTCCAGGGGCCTGGGAGGGCCAGGCTGGGGCGCTGACCAGGAGAGAAGGGCCCAGCGCGAACAGGCTGAGCTAGAGCAGAACTATGCCCGGGAGATCAGTAACCTGGTCCAGAGGCTGACCTCCGAGAAAGACCAGCTAGAGGCTGAGCTGAAGCTCAAGATGGACCAGGAAGTACTGCTCGTAAGGTGGGTGTGGCCAGACTATCCTCCTTGCCAGGCCTGTCTTCTGAAATTCAAACCAATTCATTTCAAGTTCACATTGTTGTGTAGGTTGACTCCCGGTTTCGCATTCAATTAAATTTGTAATTTTTGGTGCCAACCGTAACTTTTGCATGAGTCCCTTTTAACTCCATAACACATACACTGGACTTACACAACAATGGTGTGAGAGCTGGGACTTGTGTACGCTGTGTGTGTGTGTGTGTGTGTATATATATACACTGAGTGTACAAAACATTATGAACATTACCTGCTCTTTCCATGACATACTGTAGAATGACCAGGTGAAAGCTATGATCCCTTGTTGATGTCACTTGTTAAATCCCCTTCAATCAGTGTAGATGAAGGGGAGGAGACAGGTTAAAGAAGGATTTTTAAGCCTTGAGACAATTGAGACGGATTGTGTATTTGTGCCATTCAGAGGCTGAATCGGCAAGATAAAACATTTAAGTGCAATTGAACGGGGTATGGTAGTAGGTGCCAGGCGCACTGGTTTGTGTCAAGAACAGCAACGCTGCTACGTTTTTCACGCTCAACAGTTTCCCGTGCGTATCAAAAATGGTCCACCACCCAAAGAACATCCAGTCAACGTGACACAACTGTGGGATGCATTGGAGTCAACATGGGCCAGCATCCCTGTGGAATGGTTTTGACACCTTGTAGAGTCCATGCCCTGACGAATTGAGGCTGTTCTGAAGACAAAAAGGGGTGCAACTCAAGGTGTTCTTAATGTTTTGTCCACTCAGTGTATGTATGTATGTATGTGTATATATACAGTTGAAGTCGGAAGTTTACATACACCTAGGTTGGAGTCATTAAAACTAGTTTTTCAACCACTCCACAAATTTCTTGTTAACAAACTATAGTTTTGGCAAGTCGGTTAGGACATAATAATAATAATAATAATAATAATAATATGCCATTTAGCAGACGCTTTTATCCAAAGCGATTTACAGTCATGTGTGCATACATTTTTACGTATGGGTGGTCCCGGGGATCGAACCCACTACCCTGGCGTTACAAGCGCCATGCTCTACCAATTGAGCTACAGATTACCACATTGAGCTACAGAGGACATATACTTTGTTCATGACACAAGTAATTTTTCCAACAATTGTTTACAGACAGATTATTTCACTTATAATTCACTGTATCACAATTCCAGTGGGTCAGAAGTTTACATACACTAAGTTGACTGTGCCTTTAAACAGCTTGGAAAATTCCAGAAAATTAAGTCATGGCTTTAGAAGCTTCTGATAGGCTAATTGACATCATTTGAGTCAACTGGAGGTGTACCTGTGGATGTATTTCAAGGCCTACATTCAAACTCGGTGCCTCTTTGCTTGACATCATGGGAAAATCTAAAGAAATCAGCCAAGACCTCAGAAAAAAATGGTAGACCTCCACAAGTCTGGTTCATCCTTGGGAGCAATTTCCAAACGCCTGAAGGTACCACGTTCATCTGTACAAACAATAGTATGCAAGTATAAACACCATGGGACCACGCAGCCGTCATACCGCTCAGGAAGGAGACACGTTCTGTCTCCTAGAGATGAACGTACTTTGATGCAGAAAGTGCAAATCAATCCCAGAACAACAGCAAAGGACCTTGTGAAGATGCTGGAGGAAACCGGTACAAAAGTATCTATATCCACAGTAAAACGAGTCCTATATCGACATAACCTGAAAGGCCGCTCACCAAGGAAGAAGCCACTGCTCCAAAACCGCCATAAAAAAGCAAGACTACAGTTTGCAACTGCACATGGGGACAAAGATCGTACTTTTTGGAGAAATGTCCTCTGGTCTGATGAAACAAAAATAGAACTGTTTGGCCATAATGTCCATCGTTATATTTGGAGGAAAAAGGGGGACGCTTTCAAGCCGAAGAACACCATCCCAACCGCGAAGCACGGGGGTGGCAGAATCATGCTGTGGGGGTGCTTTGCTGCAGGAGGGACTGGTGCAATTCACAAAATAGATGGCATCATGAGGAAGGAAAATGATGTGGATATATTGAAGCAACATCTCAAGACATCAGTCAGGAAGTTAAAGCTTGGTCGCAAATGGGTCTTCCAAATGGACAATGACCCCAAGCATACTTCCAAAGTTGTGGCAAATGGCTTAAGGACAACAAAGTCAAGGTATTGGAGTGGCCATCACAAAGCCCTGACCTCAATCCTATAGAAAATGTGTGGGCAGAACTGAAAAAGCGTGTGCGAGCAAGGAGGCCTACAAATCTGACTCAGTTACACCAGCTCTGTCAGGAGGAATGGGCCAAAATTCACCCAACTTATTGTGGGAAGCTTGTGGAAGGCTACCCGAAACGTTTGACCCAAGTTAAACAATTTAAAGGCAATGCTACCAAATACTAATTGAGTGTATGTAAACTTCTGACCCACTGGGAATATGATGAAAGAAATAAAAGCTGAAATAAATCATTCTCTCTACTATTATTCTGACATTTCACATTCTTAAAATAAAGTGGTGATCCTAACTGACATAAGACAGGTAATTTTTACTAGGATTAAATGTCAGGAATTGTGTAAAACTGAGTTTAGATGTATTTGGCTAAGGTGTATGTAAACTTACGACTTCAACTGTATATACACTACTGGTTTTAGAACACTTACATTTTTCCAGTTTATATTGAAATTCACTGTTTATCTTAATGTATTCTGTCAATCCTGCAGCTCGAAGTCTTCTCTTCACAGTTGAAATTGAGACTTGCTTACTTCGACCAGTGTTAAGCTGTGCTTGAAGCTGTTGTCCTGTGAGTCGCCTATCATGCAAGCTGTTGACTCTCAGAAACTTGTCTTCTGATTCTGTTGTGGCTTTGGGTCTGCCAGACCTCTTCCTGTCAGTTTCCATGTGCCTTTTGATGGTGTAGGAAACTACACTCACTGACACCTTGGCTTTCTTTGCAATTTCTCTAAAGGAAAGACCTACACTTTTAAGGGTTATAATGGTCTGTCTGTCTTTGTTAATTGCATTTTTCTCGACATTATGATAGTAATATACTACTTCCTGCAGTACAATACTGTCCAAATACTGCTTAAGAGGGTGTAGTAACACAGTCTGTTCCAACACTGCTTTTATACAGACAGAGGGTTTGTAAGTAATCAACAAAAGTTGGAACACCTGTAGAAATTGTTTGCATCAACTTTCAAGGTTTAATTAACTTCCATTGCTGCAGAACAGCTGTAGGTTGTTAACCCATTACTTGTTCCCTGAATAATGATTTTTTTATAACTCTGAAATGTACATTATCTTTCAGTTTTTGGTAACTTAAACTTTTTATTTTTGACCTCTGACAGTTTACCGCTTACCTTTGTACCATTTCAGGTTATTCACTGGACTTGAACTGCTTAAATTTCAATAAAAACTGGAAAAATGGGGGTGTTCTAAAACTTTTGACCGGTAGGGTATGTGTGTGTGTATGTATCTGTGTCTGTGTGCCTTAGTGAACAGTGTGTGCTATGTAATCAGGGAAGAGGCAGAGCAGCAGGTGTCTCAGATGAAGACTCAGCAAGGCAAGGCCCAGCGCAGCTTCATGCACCAGTTACACTGTGAGCGCCTGCGGCTGGAACTGGAGCAGGAGAGGCACAGGGAGAGGCTCCACAGTACAGAGAGGGCGGGTGAGGAGCAGGCCAGGATCTGCAGCCGGGCCGCTGTGGAGAGGAAGATGCTGGAGGAAGGGCACCAGGAGGAAGTCCGGCAGCTGAAGGAGCACATAGCCAGTCTGCAGGAGCAGGCAGATCTGGCCTCAGATAGGGAGAAGAAACTAGAGCAGTATCAAACACAGTGCAGTCAACTAGAGGCCAAACTGGAAGTGGTTTGTGCCCAGCTGGAGGAACGCACTGTGTGTCTGGAGTCTGTTGAGACTTTGACCGAGCGTCTGACCTCTGAACATTATGCTGTAGAGGAGGAACTGCGGTTGGTGAGGAATAGAGAGAGAGAGAGAGAGATCCTTAGTGAGTTGTCTCAGCTAAGAGAGGAGCTGCATAGTCTACGGTCTGAATCTATGACACTTCTTCAGGACAAGGAAATGGTAGCGGAGAACTGTAGCAGTTTGTCCAGCGCCTTCGTACAACAGCAAGCTCAGCTGAGGGCCAAAGAGGAAGAGACGGATACCCTGAGGGGGGAGTTGGAGAGGGCACAGGAGGCTCTGAGAAACGAAGTTGAACGACGCTCAAGGCAGACTGCTGAGCTGGACTCCCAGAAGACGGACAGCGCGAAGCTAATGGAGGAGCTGAGAAAACACAGAACAACTGTTGACCGTTTACAATCAGATCTTGACTGTGTCACTGAGGAGTTAAACCATTGGAAGAGGGCAGAGAAGAGTCTACAGGAAGCCTTGAGGCTGGAACGAACCCAAGTCATGGAGATCCAATCCACCCTGGACCTGGAGAGGGAAGAGACGGGCTGTCTGAGCCAGGAGAACACCCACTACATCCGCCTGGCAGACCAACTATCCAACCAGATCGTAGAAATGGAAACTGAATCATCCAAACTCCGAGACCACATCCACAAGCTGAAAGCCCAACTGGGCGAAACATCCAACCTGGTTTCTGATCTCAGGATCCAGCTAGAGGCCAAATCCACAGAGGTAGACAACCTTGAGTCAGATATGAAGCAGACTGCAGGTCTGTTAGAGATGGCAGAAGCCTTGTCCAATAAGCACTACAGGGAAGAGGAGCTGCTGAACGCCCAGCTGGAGACCAAGGAGAGTGAGCTGTGCTCCCTCAGAGGAAAGGCTGGCAGCAGCACCACCGTCCAGCTGCAGCAGGCCCTGCTGTCCTCTCAGGCAGAGGTCCACAGGTTGGAGGAGGCCTTTGAGTGGGAGAAGAGCAGGATGAAGGAGCAGCTGGTGGAGATGGAGAAGCTGGTCATGGCTCTGGAGATGGTGATGGACCCTACCAGTCCACACAGGTTTGTGATGTGCAGGCCTGTCGCTGGAAATCAAATCAAACCAAACCAACCTTCAAACGACTAACCTTCACCTGCCTTGATTCCGATGTGTTTCTGCCCCAAACATGGTGGCTGAGATTTTAATGACTAATAGCAACTGATCTGCTCTCATCTGAAAGAGATCCTCACCTTTTCTCCTCAGAAACCTTCTCTAAGTCTTTAACCTTCTCTACACCTTAGCAGGCTGTGCGCCAACATCAAACTTTAGAAATTTGAATTGTCTGGAATCCATTAACAATTTTCTGTCTCTAACAGAATGATTTTCACTTAGGTGCATGATATTAGATTTCATTTTTCTGAATAACAGCATTTGTATCATTGAATGTTTGTCCATTTTACTTCGCCACATAAGTGCATTGATTTCACCCAGAGTTTCATCTGGAACTCAAATGTTTGCTTCAAATTATAAATGCCTCCATAAAATCAATCCCCAGATAAATATTCTGTTTAAATATCTGCCAGATTAAAATGCCTTTGAGGAAAAACTCATATCTAAACTATTTCAACTCTAGGTCTCAGTTAGATGAGGTCAACTGTGAGAACAGTGCTCTGAAGGACAGACTGGCCATGTTACAGCAGGATGTCCAGAGAATGGAGGAAGAGATCTTACAGAAGAAGTAAGTCGATCCATCAGTAATGTGTTGCTGTGAGAGAATGCTCAATTCAGAGATGGTTTACAAATGTCTGTTACAGAAGGGGTTGTTATTTAAGCTGTATTCTGTCTTCACAGCTATTAATCATTCCTTTCCATCTTTGATTTCACCAGAAAGAAACTGGACGAAGTGGAGCAGGAACATGAGAAGAACAGGGAGGAGCAGGAGAGACTTCACAAAGAGGTTTGTTTTCAATCATTTTCCATTTGACTATAATCACCCTACATAGTTCAACTGACCCTTTTAGCCTGATAGATTTTTATAGCCTACATTTTGATAATTGGACACATGATCATTCTCTCAATCACCCGAGGCCACTGCATAGTGATGAGCAATCCCAGTCTGATAAACCCTTCCTCGAACCCCTTCCCTCTCAGAACGCCAAGTACCAGGAAGAGGTGATGGACCTGAGCACCCGCAACCTGCAACTGAGCGGCGAGAACGCTGAGCTGAGCTCCCGTCTCCGTGCTGACCAGGGGGCGGTCCAGATGCTGACGGAGAGGCTGGCGACCGCAGCCAGGCAGCTCCAGGAGACCTCCACCGAGCAGGAGAGGGAGAGACTCCACCTGCAGGCAGCCTGGCAGCAAGACAAGGAGCTGCTTGAGAGAGAACTCAACACCATCAAGGAAAAGGTATATATGGGGGACTTTTGGGACAGTTGCGGTAGAGTTCTCCAGTGTCTAGATACTACGTTTGGTCTATGGGAAATTGAAGTGTGTGAGAATTTTCTTGGTCAGCATTTTTAATGAATGGGTCTCATTTATGTATCTTGGTTCTTGATTGTCTTGTTTGCTCTTAGCTCCAGCGTTTGTCAGATGTGGAGTCCTCACTGACCAGCCTGACCCTGAAGCACCAATGGCTGGAGCAGGATAAGGAGAGTCTGCTGATGGAGGTGGAGGAGAGGACCCAGAAGGTGAGAGAAGGATGTACTTGGCTATTGCAACTCTGTTGGGGGGAATTGACATCTTCCAAGTCTTTCCTCTGACTGAATATGTATGAATTATGTAATTTTTTTACAGGTTGAGAAGCTCCAAGGGTCTCTTCGCTCTGTGGACTCCCAGACGGAGCTGCTTCGCTCCCAGCTCCAGGCTGTGGGTCAGGAGAAGAATGGCCAGACCCAGGAAGTAGCCAACCACCAGAGGATGATGCAGGATGCCCAGGACAAGGTAAGTGACATACTGACGACGAAAACAATACAAATGTCTGCTCACTGTTTGCTGCTCCTGAATGTGATCTTTAATGAAGCGTTGTGATACAACATCACTTTGACTGACTTCATTGTTGTCTGCTGATCATCAGGTAAGGGAGTTGGAGGCCAGCATGGGCAGGCTAAGCAGGGAGAAGGAGCAGCTGCATCTGGCCCAGAAACATGAGGTGGAGGCCTCCATGGCCCTACAGGAGGAGTGCCAGAGCCTGCACCTCCAAAACCAGGAGCTGCTACACAGAGTAGGGCTACGTTACTTGCTCTTAAAGCCATAGCCACGGGAAGTAGGGGTGCTGGAGGTGCTGCAGCACCCCGTGGTAAATTGAAATAAATTTGCCAAAATTACACTGAACAAAAATATTAACGCAACATGCAAAAATGTCAAAGATTTTACTGAGTTACAGTTCATATAAGGAAATCAGTCAATTTAAATGAATTCATTAGGCCCTAATCTATGGATTTCACATGACTGTGAATACAGAGGCCATGTCTAGACTTGACAGTTCATGCAGCTTTAGTATTCTGATCATAGATTTCTGATCATGGAATTCCGAACGTGTCGTGCATCTACAATTACATTTAAATGTGTCTACCGTGTCCAGTGTGTCCGGATTCCCTTTTCCCGTGCTATATTCAAATGCCAGTGTGCATTCCACAAACGGTGGAATAGGACAAATATGATAATAACACAACAACTGATGGCAGTACCTAACTACTGTAGCTAACTAGCCAGCTAACCTCTGTAGCTAGCCAGCAAGCAACGCTAAAGGGATTGCAAATGGGTTTAGCATAAATATGGTTTCTCTAAATATTAGCTAGCTGGCTAGCATTTATGAGGCCAGGAAACACGGTCCTCACACGCTAGGAACGTATTTCCTCCAACGTTATAATGAAAAGGTGCCGCAGTCCCAAAACACATGTTTTCTGGAGACTTGTGGGAGGAGTGCTGATGACGTCGCCCACTGTATGGCTTTCGGAAGCCTGATTGCATCCAGACTGAAGAGAAATCTGCACACAATGCATCCCTGACCACCACCTGAAGTGGTCAGCCAGATCTGGACACAATCAGGCCACAAAGCAACTAGACCCGTCTTTTCAATGTGATCTTCGTATTCTGATAGCAGAAGTCGCAAGTAAGTGTCAAATGTAGACACGACCAGATATGCATCTGTTGGTCACAGATACCTTTAAAAAAAAAATTGGGCCGTGGATCAGAAAACCAGTCAGTATCTGGTGTGAGCTATTTTTGCCTCCATGCAGGGTGACACATCTCCTTCCCATAGAGTTGATCAGGCTGTTGATTGTGGCCAGTGGAATGTTTTCCCAATCCTCTTCAATGGCTGTTCGAAGTTGCTAGAAATTGGCGGGAACTGGAACACACTGCCGTACACATCGATCCAGAGCATCCCAACAGCTCAATGAGTGACATATCTGGTGAGTATGCATGCCATGGAAGAATTGGGACATTTTCAGCTTCCAGGAATTGTGTACAGATCCTTGCGACATGGGGCTGTGCATTACCATGCTGAAACGTGAGGTGATGGCAGCAGATGAATGGCATGACACTGGGCCTCAGGATCTCATCACGGTATCTCTGTGTATTCAAATTGCCATCGATAAAATGCAATTGTGTTCATTGTCCGTAGCTTATGCCTGCCCATACCGTAACCCCACTGCCACCATGGGGCACTCTGTTCACCATGTTGACATCAGCAAACCGCTCACCCACACGACACCATACACACTGTCTGCCATCTGCCCAGTACAGTTGAAACCGGGATTAAGCCGTGAAGAGCACACTTCTCCAGCATGCCAGTGGCCATCGAAGTTGAGCATTTTCCCACTGAAGTCGGTTACGACGCAGAACTGCAGTCAGGTCAAGACCCTGGTGAGGACGATGAGCACGCAAATGAGCTTCCCTGAGATGGTTTCGGACAGTTTGTGCAGCAATTCTTTGGTTGTGCAAACCCACAGTTTCATCAGCTGTCCGGGTGGCTGGTCTCAGACGATCCCGCAGGTGAAGAAGCCGGATGTGGAGGTCCTGGGCTGGCGTGGTTACACGTGGTCTGCGGTTGTGAGGCCGGTTGGACGTACTGTCAAATTCTCTAAAACAACGTTGGAGGCAGCTTATGGTAACAGCTCTGGTGGACATTCCTGCAGTCAGCATGCCAATTGCACGTTCCCTCAACTTGAGACATCTATGGCATTGTGTTGTGTGACAAAACTGCACATTTTAGGAGTGGCCTTTTATTGTCCCCAGTACAAGGTTCACCTGTGTAATGATCATGCTATTTAATCAGCTTCTTGATATGCCACAACTGTCAGGTGGATGGATTATCTTGGCAAAGGAGAAATGCTGACTAATAGGGATGTCAACCAATTTGTGCACAAAACTTGATGTTTATTTGTGCGTATGGAAAATGTCTAGGATCTTTTATTTCAGCTCATGAAACATGGGACCAACACTTTACATGTGGCGTTTATATTTTTGTTCAGTATATATTATGTCTCCTGTTTGTACATAAATAAATCAAATTCAAAATATTACACCAGATACTATAATTTAGCCAGAGGATCAATAGCTAGCTAGCTTTAAAAAAAAAAAAAAAAAAGCATAAGCACAGTTCATAGCCTAGGCTACTACTTCAAATAATTAACCCCTGGGGCTGATCCTTGAATGTGCGCTCCGAGTTAAATCTTACTGTTAGTCTGCAAATGCGATCATTGATGCTTGCATGCAATGCTTTATTATAAAGGTGAATTCTTTTTGAAGTGGTTGTTGTGCTTTGTTTCCTTCAGGTGTATCAGCTGCAGGGCCAGGATGTGGAGGTACAGAGGCTGATGGAGGAGTGTCTGACTCTAAAGAACAAACAGATACAGCTGGAGACTGCCAGGGCAGAGGCACAGGATCAGGTGATTACCTTAAACATTTGTTAAATAATTGATAAATGTAATTTTGCTGAGGCACTAAATCTCTAAACTGAAAGCAGGTTTGCCAATTGAAACTCAAATTGAACAACTAACACCATGATCCAAGTTTGCACTAATCCACCTCAGGCTTGTGAAAGTTGAGGCTAATTCCTTTCATGAACATTTCCAAACTCCATTCCTATGCCCTATTGAGTCTATCAGCGTGTTTGAAGGGATCAGTTTGAGCAAGAATAGTTTGGGATGCAAGGCGATTTGTGGATCACTGCACAGTCTGACTACAATGTAGTTGATTCTCAACACACACACTGTTTTATGGTGCAGGCACAAATGGTGGACACGGCCTTGACCCTGGCCCAGGCCCAGCATGTCCGGGAGCTGCAGCAGTTGAGGGAGGAGGCAGGACTGGGGTCCAGGGAACAGCTGGAGCAGACCCTCTGCACACAGGCCCAGCAAGCCAGCACCCAGATGGGCCTGCAGCAGGTAATATACTGCACTACAGGATGCACCCAATCCAGCCACTGGTGACAGTTCAATAGTCATGAGCTCTAAAATGACAGATTTACACCATTTAACACTTCTCAGAAGAATCGACCATAGCTTAACACAGAACTAAAAGTGATCAATAAAATAAATGTATGCAGAGGAAATGTGTATGATGTTGACATGCTGTAAATGCTGGCTCTCTGTTGGTGCTCAGGAGCAATATGAGAAGGTGATGGGGAACATGCAGGAGAGGATGGAGGAGGTGGAGACCAAGCTGAGGAGTGTGCGCAAGATGCTGCAGGAGAAGGTCAACCAGCTGAAGGAGCAGGTCAGTTTACCATTCATACGAGACAAACAAATACCAGAGAAACAAATCTGACCATTTCGTTGTCCCTGTCCCCCACCCACAGCTGGCGAAGAATGCCAAGTCGGACATCATGCTGAAGGACCTGTATGTGGAGAACTCCCAGCTGATGAAGGCACTGCAGGTCACTGAGCAGCGGCAGAAGAGTGCTGAGAAAAAGAACTTCCTCTTAGAGGAGAAGATTACAGCCCTCAACAAGCTCCTTCGTAAGATCGCCCCTGCCTCCCTCTCTGCGTAGCAGTTCCCTACTACTCAGAACGCTACTCCCCAAAAGACTGACAACTGTGAAAGACCTCTTAGTTTCCTTCCCTTAACCTTAGTATTGGATGACCGTCCCAATGACACAGATGCTTAATGTGGCAGGTGGTCCACAATTTGATTCTGTAAGGTCCATAACAAAATCACTTTGTAACAACTCCCTCTTGGGATGGTGGGTTTGACTGCACACAATTAGCACAGGTTATTTGGGTAAGTGGAACAGCACAAGTCTTGTGTTTTCAGCCACCAGGGTATTATGCATGTACTTTTGTTTTTGTGTATGTGTATATATATATTTTTTATTATATTGAGGTTAATGAAAGACTCATTTTTTTGTGAAGGTCAAAGTTCATATGAAGTATTGTATTCCGTTAGGTTACTAAAAGATAACGAACAGACAATCCTCTAGCATCATGCTGCGTTGGTAGGTCTGAGAGTCGATTAGATGTATAATGGGACCAATGGTATAACATTCCAGTTTGATCACCAAACGCTCTATTAAGGTACATAACTTTAAGTGTTGGTCTGTCAGACTATGAGATGAATGGTACTGTATGCGAAAGGCTGAAACCTCCATTTAATCACACAAAATGAATCAAAGAAAGGGTTTAGCTACTTTTTTAATGAAGTGTTCTTTGTGGTATTTTAAATGATCAACCAAAAGCACAGTATTTACACATGTAAAGTTTTGATACACATCTGCACAATTTTCAATCCTGATGCACTGCTGTACAGTCAACCTTTTAATTGCTAAATTATTTGAGTACTAAAAAATTTATTGTCAATCGAATAATGTATGTAGGTAATTAAAAACACTAACATGCAAGCTGTGGATTTGTCATGCACTACACAATCACTCCACAATTAAAGTAAAACAAAACTGACCAAGTAATAAATGACCTCCTGCTAAGTATATGAATTAATTATTGTTTTAAAGCACTTTTTCAAAATAGCACCACCTGATGCATTGTCTCACTTCAATGGATAATCCTCTCTGCTGAAAAAAAAGGTAATATAGTTGTTCTGGTATTTGATTCAAGACATGATATGCTCCAAGACCCCCTGGCGAATCAACTGCTCACACTTCCATCGTGGCAGAAAATGCTGCAGAGATAGAGGAGTTGATTTTGACTCATGTTCAATTCTTTACACAATGTGCATGTATAGTGATGGTTATGTTTTTTATTATATACCTGACTGTTTTTCTTCAGAAGAATGATGGTCCCGTCGTCTATTTCAAACTCTCCATGATCTTTTAAACAGCGCACCTATGGAGAGAAATACATTTGGTGAGAAACAAACTAAATGGCAAGAGGGTAAAATCAATTGAACATGACCAATACGTACAAATAGCTAAATGAAGACCAAAGCAAGGAGCACCTTTATCAGTCAAGGGTCTATGTGCTACAGTTTGAATGAATTGATACAGTTGATGACTAACAGCACAAGTGGCCCCTACCAACATTCACTTAGTCTCTGGTCAGGTCCTTGCGGGCATGCAGTTCCCTTGTGCAGCTTACCTCAATGTACAAACTCTTTGGAGGCTTCATGTCCTGTGTTATGTCAAGTCCTTCCTCTCCTCCAAGTGACCTCATGAAAGTAGCCAGGGACTTCTTGTACTGGTTAAACCACTCCAACTATTCAAAATGAAACATGACATTTTAAGAGTCAGATGACATTACCCTGCCATCTTCTGTCCAATTTGTTTCTTGCCTTCGAAAGAGGAGAAAGAAACATACCTCTTCTGCACACATGTGGAAGCGGATGTTTGTGGGCAACACACTTCCGTACTCCCACCTCAAAGCCCGAATGCGGAGGAGCCTGTCATAGCTGAGGAGAGGAAATAAGCAATGATGTTGTCCTATCCTAATAAACTATGATATGGTCAGTGTAACTGTCAACAAAAACATTAGTATTGATGATGAGCTCAAAATCAACTCCTTATCACATCAGGCACTCACAGGTAGGCAGCGATGCAACGTTGGTTTCTCAGTAGACAGCAATGACGGAATTTGATGGTTGGAATCAGCTCACTTTTGCCCTCAGACTTGGCTTCATTGCTTTGAGGTGTGTGAAATAAAACGCATTTGTTAAAACCCTTAAGGTTTATTTCACAACTCCTTGGGAAAGAGATACACATTCGATTATATAAGACAATGTCAATGGGTGACAATGTTTAATGTCTTAACTCACACATCACTTTGATTCTGCTCATATAAAGCTTTCATCTCCTCCAGCACCTGACGAATACCATCTTCCTGAAAAGTGCAGAGAGCATAGATGTAAAGAAGGTGTCAGTGAGCAGTAATAGAAGTCAAATGACCATGTAGTCAGTGGCATTACAACCAAATTGCAAACTATCAAACTGATCTAAACGCCTTCACTTTTTATTCATAGTCTGGCTTGGTTGATGTTAGCTATTACTGAGTGAAACGCATTCTAGTGATGGCTGGCTAGGTTGATTTTAGCTCTCGAGAACCCAAGTCAGAATAGCAAGGAGTAGGGCTGCACCATATGGGCAAATCATTTAATTGCGATTTGTTTTTAACCAAATATTGCGATTTAGATCAAAACACTTGGGTGTACTGTTGGAATCATAGAAATAAAATTTGTATTCCGATTCTATGGTTGGTGTTGTTTGGCATTACATTGACATTTTAGTCATTTAGCAGACGCTCTTATCCAGAGCGACTTACAGTTAGTGAGTGCATACATTTTCATACTGGCCCCCCGTGGGAAACGAACCCACAACCCTGGCGTTGCAAGCGCCATGCTCTACCAACTGAGCTACAGGGGACTATGACGACTAATGAAAATGCCAGGTACAGTAGAAGTTGTAGTGACAGAGTAAGAACCAAATGTTGGTCAGAGTTTCCCAGGGGGACCTGTTGCACATGTCCATATTGTAATTTCGATGAAAATTCGATTAATTGTGCAGCCCTAGCAAGATGGTTGATATAGCTAAGCCATTAATAGTAACGTCATGTGTGGCAGTTGGGTGTACTAGCTATCCCGTGCCAAGCCAGTGTTGACTCCTGCATCGCTAGAGTAAACTAACAATCTATCTATCTAGCTAGCTAGTTATTCTATCTGCACTGATTGCTACAAATCCAGTATATATTTATACCCTGCCTGAATGTGCCACTTACATTGAATGCAGGCAGTTGACCATCGCCCATGCGGTGAAGTTCTCTGATTATTTCGATTGCCTTTTCACAAAACATATCGCTTGGTATATGTTGTTATAAAGTAATAGGATACCGTATATAAGGCTAGACAACAGTATGCTAAACCTTACAATTGCATCAAACTAGTGATTATCCTGTAATTATTACACGGATTCTAGAATGATGTGAATTGTTGTAGACGGACTGCTGCTGAGTTTTCGCGGCAAAATGCTTTGTTATGATCACATAACCGGAAACTATGGGTACCGATGAAAGACAAACCAAACCAACCACACCTGCTGCTGCCACCGTGGCGGACAGCAAATTACCGGTGTCCTCGCTTGTCATGTTGTCAGTTTAATAAGAAAGAAAAAAAGGTATTATATTTTTGTAATTGTTATTTTATTAAAGCCATAAATAGTATTTGCATTCGAATATAAGAACAAACAACACGTTGTGTTGCTTAGCTAGTTAGCGACGTTAGCTTTAGCTAGCTAACGAGTTTCTGTGTTTCACGCAAAAGCACTTGCTGTCAGTTTATGTTAACTAGCTAGTATACAGTTTAGAAGTCACAGTTAATATGTTAGCTAGTTCAATTTTGGAATATGTGGGGGTTTATTCTGAAATAACATGTAGCTAGATAAGGTGGTGTGTTTTGAAAAGTGGCTAGCTAGCTATGTAGCTACATTTCCCTTACAAAGATGGCGTACTGGTATGTTCTGATCGGCTTAAATGGGGAACCTAGGGGAAAGGTTGATTTGATCAGCTGGTCTCTGCAGATATCGGACTTGTACAAACAATGTAGCTAGCAAAAGTGCTGATTGTCAGCGGTGCTGGGTGAGAAAACAACGGCACCCTGACCTCATCTTTACCCGGCTTCTTACGGAGAATTTGTTGCCAAGCTACATCACCGGCGCTGTCTAGTGTTGCTGTCAAATCAAATGCAGTAGTGATAGACGGTGTTTTACCTCATATTGTCGCGTTTCTTTCACATTCTGCTTTTACATTTCAGTGATGCGAAAGCGAAATAACTCGCTCACCGTGGACCATGACAGCTCTTCCACCAACACATTGCTGGACAGCAGTCCGGATTTAAACTACTGTCACAAGAGAGGGGAAGGGGTTCCTGAGCCTTCTGTCCCATCTGGCTCGGAATCGGACAAAACAATGGGCAGACCATTTAGAAGGTAAGGCATGTTTGCACCATGGAAGTCTGATAGGCAACCAACACTTATCCGGCCAGTACACTAATCTCATTACTGTGGTGGCAACTGTGTTGTGGAATACTGTTGGGGTTCAATAATACAAATGTGTATTTAAGAAACAGACTTTAATTCATACTTCCACTCCAGGCAGTCTAACATGAGGACATATTCATAATACATTTTTTAAATCACATTACACCCAAAGCTTTGATTAGGCTATAGGAGGGCCATTTCACTGTGAATACGTTTTTAGTCATACAAAACAGTTATCCCTCTGCCTCCGGTCACACAGGTTTTACTGGATGACTGAAGTTCTCTTTTTGTTAGGAGTAGAACTGCTTGGGGCAGGTGTGGAACGATGTACATACCATAGGCACAGGGCTGTTGATATGCTGATAACTGAGGATGGTGCTTTGAGTTACATCTTAAGACCTATGGGTATGCCCACATGACTTATGTGATTACTCTGTCTTCCAAGTGAATACTTTATAATCCCCTTATTATACACTACATGACCAAAGTATGTGGACACCTGCTTGTCGAACATATCATTCCAAAATCATGGACATTAATATGGAGTTAGTCCCCCCTTTGCTGTTATAACAGCCTCCACTCTTCTGGGAAGGCTTTCCACTAGATGTTGGAACATTGCTGCGGGACCTGCTTCCATTTAGCCACAAGCATTAGTGAGGTCAGGCGATTAGGCCTGGCTCGCAGTCGGCGTTCCAATTCATCCCTAAGGTGTTCGATGGGATTGAGGTCAGGTCTCTGTGCAGGCCAGTCAAGTTCTTCCACACCGATCTCAACAAACCATTTCTGTATGGACCTCGCTTTGTGCACGGGGACATTGTCATGCTGAAACAGGAAAGGGCTTTCCCCAAACTGTTGCCACAAAGTTGGAAGCACAGAGTCGTCTAGAATGTCATTGTATGCTGTAGCGTTAAGATTTCACTACACTGGAACTAAGGGGCCTGAACCATGAAAAACAGCCCCAGACCATTATTCCTCCTCCACCAAACTTTACAGTTGGCACTACGCATTCGGGCAGGTGGCGTTCTCTTGCTCCAGAGTCCAATGGCGGAGAGCTTTACACCACTCCAGCCGACGCTTGGCATTGTGCATGGTGATCTTAGGCTTCTGTGTGGCTGCTCGGCGTTGGAAACCCATTTCATGAAGCTCCCGGCGAACAGTTCTTATGCTGACATTGCTTCCAGAGGCAGTTTGGAACTCTGTGTTGAGTGTTGCAAACGAGGACAGACGGCTGAGTCATTGTCGCTCTTAGATGTTTCCATTTCACAATAACAGCACTTACAGTTGACCGGGGCAGCTCTAGCAGGGCAGAAAAAAGGTCATCCCTATACTTTGAGCTAGTTACTCAAATGACAGTAGCTCAGCAGCACATTGTTGGACTATATACAGTTGAAGTCGGAAGTTTACATACACCTTAGCCAAATACATTTAAACTCAGTTTTTCACAATTCCTGACATTTCATCCTAGTAAAAATTCCCTGTTTTAGGTCAGTTAGGATCACCACTTTATTTTAAGAATGTGAAATGTCAGAATAATAGTAGAGAGAATGATTTATTTCAGCTTTTATTTATTTTATCATATTCCCACTGGATCAGAAGTTTACATACACTCAATTAGTATTTGGTAGCATTGCCTTTAAATTGTTTAACTTGGGTCAAATGTTTCGGGTAGCCTTCCACAAGCTTCCCACAATAAGTTGGGTGAATTTTGGCCCATTCCTCCTGACAGAGCTGGTGTAACTGAGTCAGATTTGTAGGCCTCCTTGCTCGCACACACTTTTTCAGTTCTGCCCACACATTTTCTATAGGATTGAGGTCAGGGCTTTGTGATGACCACTCCAATACCTTGACTTTGTTGTCCTTAAGCCATTTTGCCACAACTTTGGAAGTATGCTTGGGGTCATTGTCCATTAGGAAGACCCATTTGCGACCAAGCTTTAACTTCCTGACTGATGTCTTGAGATGTTGCTTCAATATATATCCACATAAGTTTCCTTCCTCATGATGCCATCTATTTTGTGAAGTGCACCAGTCCCTCCTGCAGCAAAGCATCCCCACGGCGGCAGGTAGCTTAGTGGGTAAGAGCGTTGTGCCAGTAACCGAAAGGTCGCTGGTTCTAATCCCCGAGCCGACTAGGTGAAAAATCTGTCGATGTGCCCTTAAGCAAGGCACTTAACCCTAATTGCTCCTGTAAGTCGCTCTGGATAAGAGCGTCTGCTAAATGACTAAAATGTAAATGTAAAATGTAAAATGATGATGCTGCCACCCCCGTGTTCTTCGGCTTGCAAGCCACCCCCTTTTTCCTCCAAACATAACGATGGTCATTATGGCCAAACAGTTCTATTTTTGTTTCATCAGACCAGAGGACATTTCTCCAAAAAGTGCGATCTTTGTCCCTATGTGCAGTTGCAAACCGTAGTCTGGCTTTTTTATGGCGGTTTTGGAGCAGTGGCTTCTTCCTTGCTGAGCGGCCTTTCAGGTTATGTCGATATAGGACTTTTACTGTGGATATAGATACTTTTGTAACTGTTTCCTCCAGCATCTTCACAAGGTCCTTTGCTTTTGTTCTGGGATTGATTTTCACTTTTTGCACCAAAGTACGTTCATCTATAGGAGACAGAACGCGTCTCCTTCCTGAGCGGTATGACGGCTGCGTGGTCCCATGGTGTTTATACTTGCGTACTATTGTTTGTACAGATGAACGTGGTACCTTCAGGCGTTTGGAAATTGCTCCCAAGGATGAACCAGACTTGTGGAGGTCTACAATTTCTTTTCTGAGGTCTTGGCTGAATTCTTTTGATTTTCCCATGATGTCGAGCAAAGAGGCACTGAGTTTGAATGTAGGCCTTGAAATACATCCACAGGTACACCTCCAGTTGACTCAAATGATGTCAATTAGCCTATCAGAAGCTTCTAAAGCCATGACATCATTTTCTGGAATTTTCCAAGCTGGTTAAAGGCACAGTCAACTTAGTGTATGTAAACTTCTGACCCACTGGAATTGTGATACAGTGAATTATAAGTGAAATAATCTGTCTGTAAACAATTGTTGAAAAATTACTTGTCATGCACAAAGTATATGTCCTAACCGACTTGCCAAAACTATAGTTTGTTAACAAGAAATGTGTGTAGTGGTCGAAAAACGATTTTTAATGACTCCAACCTAAGTGTATGTAAACTTCCGACTTCAACTGTATCGAGCCTACTGTATCTATTTATTTTAATCAGAAACGCACAGCAAGGTAATATGCTATTACTTAATCAAGCTAATTTTCCTCTCCAAAATCTTCTTTGTGTAACCACTCCTGATCCTGGGAGAGCAGAGAAACTGTTTGGTGTCACCTAGGCTAAGCTGTGTTGTTTTGATAGATTTCTGTAGTAACAAGATTCATGTAAGTAACGCATGTATTTATACTAAAAACAATAAGTAGCCTACGCTAACATCCCACACAAACAGGTATAAATCCGTCCGAGATTTATTCTTGCAAAATGATAACAAAGCTACCTATTTTATGCATTGTTATTGTGACTTGTTCCTGAAAGAAGTACCTAATTGCAGACTCATGGAATTCAAACTTGTAATTGTACTGTATTCATGAAACCCATGTTGATGCATCAGTGATCATCAAGCAAATGTGATTGCTATTGCTGCCCACTTCACATTCCAAGACTAATATTGGGAAGTGTGATGAGTCATTCTAGCCTAGCGCTTGGTTGTTTTTAGCCCGCCACTCTTATCTTGAAAGACAGTCTTCAGTTCACTCAAGAGAGTAGGGGCTGGCTTGAGGTGAATAGAATACTCTGATTAAATATTCAATAGCCTCGGTCTCCTTTCAGAACCTTGGCCTGTCGCCAAGGTTAGGTAGAGTGAGAGAGATGAGCTTTGAGGCTTGTTTATGACCCCTGTCCACTGAGTGAATACAGCTCTATCTCGACAATAAATAGACTGTGGCTTGCCATTGGCTCTAGTTAAGAATGCATTGCATTC